GTGTTGTGTTGTGTTGTGTTGTGTATGTATGGTATGTAATGTATGTTATGGTATGTATGTTGTATGTATGTTGTATTTATGTATGTTATGTTGTGTTGTGTTGTGCTGTGTATGTATGTATGTATGTATGTATGTATGTATGTAATGAATGCTATGGCATGTATTTATGTACGTATATGTGTATGTATGTATGTATGTATGTATGTATGTATGTATGTATGTATGTGTATGCATGTAATCATGCATGCATGTCTGTGTGCGTGTGTTAATGTAATGTAATGTGTGTAATTTATGTAATGCGTTGCAGTTCATGCGTGTAATGTAATTTTGTATGTATGTCTGTATGTATGTATGTGTATGTATGTATGTATGTCTGTATGTATGTATGTATGTATGTATGTATGTATGTATGTATGTATGTATATGTATATATGTATATATGTATGCATGTATGTATGTGTTTAATATATGTAATATGTGTAATTTGTGTATGCATGTATGTATGTTTGTAATGTGTGTATGTTATGTTATGTTTTGTTATATGTTTTGTTATGTTATGTTATGTGGGTAATGCTATGTATGTAGTGTATGTATGTAATGTAATGTAGCGCAACGTAGGCCCGCTGAGCCCGTTGGGCTCGTCGGGCCCGTCGGGCCCATTGGGCCTGTTGGGCTTGTTGGGCCCGTCGGGGTCGTTGAGACCGCTGGGCCCGTTGGGCCCGTTGAGCCCGTTGAGCCCGTTGGGCCCGTTGAGCCCGTTTGGCCTGTTGGGCGCGTTGGGCCCGTTGAGGTCGTTGGGCCCATTGAGCGCGTTGGGCGTGTTGAGCCCGTTGGGAGCTTGGGCCTGTTGAGTTCGTTGGGCCCATTGAGCGCGTTGGGCGTGTTGAGCCCATGGAGCGCGTTGGGCCCGTTGATTTTATTGAACTGACCGGTTTAACACCTGGGTTCTGACTGCACTAAGTGACGGGTTTTTTGCTGCACTAAGTGACCTGTTTAGCACTTGGGTTCTGACTGCACTAAGTGACGGAATTTTTGCTGCACTAAGTGACCTGCTGACCCATACAGACTCACATACATACATACCTACCTGCATACATACATACATACATACAGACGGACAGACAGACAGGCAGGCAGGCAGGCAGACAGACAGGCAGGCAGTCAGTCAGACAGACAGACAGACAGACAGAGAGAGACAGACATGCGTGCGTGCATGCATACAGACTCACATACATACATACCTACCTACCTGCATACATACATACATACATACATACAGACAGACAGACAGACAGACAGAGACAGGCAGACAGGCAGACAGGCAGACAGGCAGACAGGCAGACAGACAGAGAAAGACAGAGACAGACAGACAGGCAGACAGACAGGCAGGCAGTCAGTCAGACAGACAGACAGACAGAGAGAGACAGACATGCGTGCGTGCATGCATACAGACTCACATACATACATACCTACCTGCATACATACATACATACATACATACATACATACATACATACATACAGACAGACAGACAGACAGACAGACAGACAGACAGACAGACAGACAGACACACGGACAGACAGACAGACAGACAGACAGACAGACAGAACAGACATACAGACAGACATACAGACAGACAGACATACATACATACCCCTCCACACTCTATTAGTCGGGTGTGCTGCCTAGGTGGGCCAGTGGCCCCTGCTAGTCTCATCGGGAAACTTGAGCTTTGTCACTGCTTGGTAAGTTTTTTTTGGCACCAGCGCCTTCCGAGCTCCACCTCACTGTGGTGGTGCACTCATACCGGGCCCTGGCTGACTGTTAGGCTTGACCCACTTTCATCATCCTGCCTCAAATCCAGTGCCGCCTCCATTGCTAAATGGCTAAACAGTGAAAAGTTTGGCTAGTGTTTTCTCGCAGGAAGTGGGCATCAAGAGTGGGCAGGCACGCTGAATTGGATGCCTGGCGTTGCTGGTGCTCGCGCTGCTCTGACAGGTTCGCATGTACATGTCCTACATTCCTTGCCTGGCTTGCTTGGCCCAGCTCTACCAGCTGCGCAGCACAGGCTTGGCATTGCTCGACCCCTTGCTTGCCCCTGCCTCTTGCGCAGGTCTGAAATTGCAGATTGGCTTCGATACTTGGCGAGAGACGCGTCATTGGGTCGGCTGAGGCCTGGACTTGGCAATTTGCAAGGCACACCTGGAAGTTGCAGGCTCAATCTTGTGCTGATCAAGGCGCCGCGTACCTTAAAGCATTGTGTCAGCCTCAGGAGCCCGTCCACCTTGCCAAACGCAGGCATGCCCTCGAAGAGCTCTGAGATCTGCGGACTCGCGACGACGTGAAGCGGACAGCGCAAAGACGAAGCGAAGAGCTGGAAGCTATGAAAGCCCAGAGCTGTATCGTGGCTCACGTGAAGGACCTAGACATGATGACGCAGACGCTGGGGCATCGAGTGAGAAGCGTGAGGAAAAAGACTTAGGCATGAGGCCGGCTTTCCGATCTCTTACTTGACAACAGCGCGCAGTTCTTGTTTCATCGAAGGTTCCAGGGAACATTCCGCAGCGTTGCTGCTTAAGCCTGGTGGCTGCGATTCGGCGGCATGTCATCTTCTTCATGCTCCTCGCCGCAACATGTCCCTGTACGTGGCATATCTTGAGGGAGGTACTTTGCGAGCGTAGCTTCGAGTCATTCGGACTGCAAACCGCTTGATCTGTTTGGGCCCAGGCCATACATTGCTCCTCTGAGCGGGAGCGCTCCTTTGGGCGTTTCTGGCGCTCTTGGCTCTCTTTCTGGTTCGGTGTCGGAGCTGCCTGGCAGCATGGGCAAACGCCGCATGTTTTGAGGGCTGGCAGGAGTGGCCTTGGCAGCTGAGGCATGCGGGCAGTTTTTGACCCGGACCTGTTGAAAAGGGACTTGGAAGCCAAGCTTCAGAGGTTGATCGAGGAGGAGACGTTCGCCGAGGAATGAATTGAGTCATTCAACTGGCGTCCACTAAGCACAAGCACCAAACCTTGAACCCCTTGCCCCTGAATCTATGTTTGGAGGCTGAACACATAGGGCGGCCTTCCCAATCAAGTCGAAATGGGAGGTGCAGGAGGCTTCCAACAGTCTGCTTGTAGGTGACATAGCCACAATGGTGTCAGGAGCGACAAGCTCAGAGTCGAGAGCGGGATGGTCACCCGTATCATGCACTGAGTTTTCAAATTCCCTGCCAAGCTGGAGAGGCCGCGGATCATTTTTTGCTCTTGGCGTTCCTTCGCACGGATTTGACTGCCTCAAGATTCGACATTTTCGACATCCCATGGGGACGGGCGAGAGGTGCTACCCTCCGAGCTAGTGCCGGTCCATCAAAGATGCTCTGCAGGCCCGTGATTGAGGTGTCCAGTGTGGAAAGGCTTGTGGGTGCCACTTCCCTAAGCAAATCGATTTCCCAGAAGCCATGAGAGAGGAACATCTGATTTTTCTTTGCTCGTTTTTGTTTGTCGCGGTCTGCTTGAGAGCCAGGGACGCCCAGCTTCGACCCGCTAGCAGCTCTGATGGAGCCACCGCCTTCTTTGGGAACTCGTGGACATCCGAATAGGTGTGCTTTGGCTTCCAGACGTCTTTTTTTTTTTTGGGGGGGGGGGGGCATCTGGGACTTGCGTCTTCTAGCGCAATATAATCGTTCCTTGCACATCGGAATTATTTGCAGCCCTTGATCTTCTTGTGACAGGAAGGCTTCAAGCAATCATGCGGGGAAAAATCGTGTTTACTCTTCCTCGAGATAAATAACGTTGACCCATATTAACCAACCCCAGTTTATTAGCAATTCCCACTAAACCCAAGGACACCCCCTATTAATGCACTGGGGTTGATTAATATGGGGGTCAACAGTACGATGACTTTGTGGTGTTCCGTTGCTCTTCGTGCTCCGACTCTCAGGCAAGCCGGCCTGCCGCTTTTTTAGACGAAGAGGCGGGTGCAGAGATGGCCCAGATCTTAGTTTTTGACAAAAAAGCGCTTCGGCAGCTCACCGAGTCCGACCTTTGCTGAGGTGTCAATTGCAAATTCTGTGGCCTGGCATCGCGTTGGCACACTTTTTTTGCGCGAGGGTGGTCATCCTTTGCTTGCAGGTCACGAGTGCGTTGTCTCGGAGCCTGAGCCGAGCTACATTGGCATGGCCGCGTGCAAGTGCTCGGCTCAGATTGGATTTGTAGTTGCGTATCTTGGGACTGAATCGCCAGGCATGGCTCAGCGTTCACAGCTCCAAGTGCAGCTTGAAGCAAAGAGCCACCATGCATGACATGGCAGGTTTCACGTCAAAACGGTACTGCCTCATTTCCAAACGGAAAATGGATGTCAACCTGGATGGGCGGGCAATTTCAGGAACGGGATGCGAACAGCTTAAATGCGAGTGACAGCCGGTCGGCCCTGACTGAGGGACCAGTTCCACCAGGCGCTATGAAAAGACCAGCCGCTTTGGAGGAGTACCCATCCGAGGGCTCCAAAGGACATCCCCTGACTTGTGCGTCGACTGCTCAGTGATTCCTGAAGTCACCGATGAGTATGTCAGAACGCATTGAAACCTGTAAGAACTTTTTTTGTCTTGGTGGACGAGCTTGCTTTCAATCCCGCTTGTACGCTTTGTTTTTTTGCCTTGAGGCCCGCCTGCAAGTACAACTCCAAGTCCAAAGGATGCAAAGACGGAGCGAATTGCGACCACTGCCACTTATGCAGATGGAGGCGTCATGCCTCCGGTAGCAGCGGCGGGGGCAGGGACCTTAATCCACTTCTAGCTGCGGAGCCACACTCTGAACCCTGAGGCTATACTCTGGACACGCACACCACTTTTGTTTGAGGCAGTGACACAGTATTGCACTATAGTTCAATTTGTGCTGCTTCTCGCGCTCGTAAATTCAAGGAGTCTAATGGAAACTCCTTGCGACCTTCGGGATGCAAACACTCCATGCTGCAAGTTGGAGATGCGGAGTGGCCGCGCTAAATCCAGTGCTTTTCATCCTGCAAGGGAACAGGCAGCGCCGACTTGCAAGGGTCTTCAAATGATCTCCTTGCTCGCGCGGCCCTGCCAAAGCAGCAGTCGGTGCGTCCGATTTGCAGCTGGTTGAATTTTTGGCTTTCGCAATGGTCAGGTAACCCTGAGTTGGTGGTTGGAATTGCTGGTTTGAGATTTGAACCCCTGGTTCTTGTAGAGGGTAAATGGGAAACCGCCCCTAAACCACCAAAACCACCAATCCAAAACCGCCAATTGGAGAGAAGCTGAAATGGGGAACGTCTGTGGGACTATTGAGCCCATGGATGAGTCCCGGTGCCCGATTTCAGGCTCTGTGAATGGATGTGCGAATGCACATTCTCCTGTCCCTCGCGCTGAGACTTTCGTAGCGTTTCGAAGGCTTTATTTTAAGATTGTTTGTTTTTCGGCCACTCGACTATTGTGCTAGGGCGAGTTTTGCCTTATTGATTCTGTCCACGTTTTCGTGAGTGTGATCGTGGTGATGTGGGATTCACTTGGATCTGCCTGTTTCAACATTGCTGATCGTCGCCAGTCCTTTTGCATGGCTGCAATGGGAAGCTGCCAGTGCTTTTGACAGGCGGACGAGGGTCTGCCTGGCCACATTCACATGTCATTGAGATCTTGGGGCCCAGGAAAAGATAAGCCACATGGACATGAGGTCCGGCAATCTTGAAGAAACCGAACAAGTATGTAAAAATTACGGCCTGCCGGCATATGTGCAGGAGTCTTCTTTTTAGACTAAGATTTGGATTTACTCACCAAGTATGATATCAGCATGATGTCAGTAGGGAACTGATGCAGCCTTTGGTAAGTTTGGCAAACGACTCCGCTAAGTCGCCGAAGATGATGTTTATGTCAGGTCAAATGCACTCATACCCTTCCCTGTATGTTGCCCGAAACGGAGGCCATTCTGTTGGCCTTTGATCCGGCAGATAATCTCGATGGTATGCGAGCTGCATCTCTTGACCCGTCACCGTACAGCCCAAACCCGAATCTGGCACTTGGGAGGCGTGGGATCCTGAAGTTGAAAAGCTGCGTCCGCTCGGCCACGCGCACCCGAGTCGCGACGCACGCCACTTGCCCGTGACGCTTGCCTTGCCCGGTTGCCTTCAGAGGTTAAATGTCAAGTCGCACGTGGTCCGACATAGTCCAAGGCATACCGACACCCCACATATTCAAACATCCGCCAGCTCAGGCTGCATTGCACGCAACGCACATGCCAAGAGAATCAAAGCAAGTCTTGCATTTTGGGTTGCCATGGCAGGGACGCCTCCAAAGGTGCGCAGGCAGTGCCACTGCGCAGTCGCTGGCCAAATGGGCAGGTCTTTCACTTCAAGCTGGTCCTCCTGGGAGATGCGTCGGTTGGCAAGTCTTGTCGGGGAGCTCAGGCGTTTTGCGACACAAACAAAACGCACAGACCAACAAACCAACCAAGCAACCAACAAAAAAACACAAAAAACTAACAAACAAACCAAAAAGCAAAAAAGCAAACAAATAAACAACAGTTGTGACCTAGTGTCGTCATGTGGACTTTTCCACAAGGTTTGTTGGACAGCGTTACCCCGATTAATTCGGGGTGGTGGCGGGAATTTAATGCCCGGGATGTCGCGCAACTGCCTTTGTGGGTTTGCTCCACCGCTGACGGCGGTAGTGTCCAGCTGTTTGCGGACGCATGCGAGCAGTTAAATCCTATCAGTAAATGGCACGCTCCACCCGTCATATGACGGGCTCCTCGTGAGGGGGGTGTGATTAGCCATGGTTCATATCATCATCAGGGATCATGGGGGACGTCGCGTTAGTGACCGACCTGTGGTGTTTTGGCTCAAGTTTTGGGTTCCGTCGCGCCTCGAATGGGCGTCGCCGAACCCCTGCGTCGACCGACGGCATCTCGGGGGAGAAAGAGACCTCGGGCCGCCGCCAGGTTGGTAGGGACCAGTCGTGCGGCCTGTTGTCGACCAAGGTTGCGGGTTAACCCTTTTCTTGTTTGGTTTGTTTTCCTTTGGTTGTTGTTCTCTGGCGTGTGGGAAACCCTGATCTTTGGGACCGGGGATTGGTTTGCTTTTGGGGGACCTTTCTTTTGTGGCTTGTTTACCCCAACTTACCCATTGCCTGGGCACAGGCTCGTGCCCGAATCACAGGTTATCAGCCGTACAAACAAACAAACAAACAAGCAAGCAAACAAACAAGCAAGCAAGCAAGCAAGCAAGCAAGCAAACAAACAAACAACCAACCAACCAACCAACCAAGGAAGGAAGGAAGGAAGGAAGCAAGGAAGCAAGCAAGCAAGCAAGCAAGCAAGCAAGCAAGCAAGCAAGCAAACAAACATACAATCAAACAAGCAAACAAACAAACAATCACACACACAAACAAACAAACAAACAAACAGACAAACAAACAAACAGACAGACAGACAGACAGACAGACACAGACAGACAGACAGACAAACAAACAAACAAACAATCAAACAACCAAACAACCAAACAACCAAACAACCAAACAACCAAACAACCAAACAACCAAACAACCAAACAAACAAACAAACAATCAAACACACACAAACAAACAAACAAGCAAGCAAACAAACAAACAAACAAACAAACACACACACACAAACAAACAAACAAACAAACAAACAAACAAAACAAAACAAACAAAACAGTCAAAACAAACAAAGCAAACAAAACAAACTAAACAACCAAAACAAACAAAACAAACAAAACAATCAAAACAAACAAAACAAACAACCAAACAAGCAAACACACAAACAAACAAACAAACAAACAAACACAACCACCAAAAAACACCAAAAACACAAAAACACACAAAAACACAACCACAAACACAAACACAAACACAAACACAAACACAAACACAAGCACAAGCACAAGCACAAACACAAGCACAAACACAAGCACAAGCACAAGCACAAGCACAAGCACAAACACAAGCACAAGCACAAGCACAAGCACAAGCACAAGCACAAGCGCACAAGCACACGCACAAACACAAACACAAACACAAACACAAACACAAGCACAAACACAAACACAAACACAAACACAAACACAAACACAAACACAAACACACAAACACAAACACAAACACAAACACAAACACAAACACAAACACAAACACAAACACAAACACAAACACAAACACAAACACAAACACAAACACAAACACAAACACAAACACAAACACAAACACAAACACAAACACAAAAACAAAAACAAAAACAACAACAAAAACACACAATCAAACACCCACACACAAACAAACAAACAAACAACCAACCAAACAAACAAACAATCAATCAAACAAACAAACAAACCAAACAAACAAACAAGCAAGCAAGCAAGCAAGCAAGCAACCAACCAAGCAAGCAAGCAAGCAAGCAAGCAAGCAAGCAAACAAACACAAAGCAACACAAAGCAACACAAAACAACACAAAACAACACAAAACAACACACAACAACACAAAACAACACAAAGCAAAACAAAACAAAAACAAACAGTCAAACACAAACAAACAAACAAAGAAACAAACAAAGAAACAGACATTCAAACAAACATTCAATCAAACAAACAAGCAAGCAAGCAAGCAAGCAAACAAACAAGCAAGCACAAAACAACACAAAACAACACACCACAACACACAACAGCACAAAACAGCACAACACAAAACAAAACAGAACAAAGCAATACAAAACAAAACAAATCAGAACAAAAAGCAACAAAAACAATACAAACAAACCAACAAGCAAGCAAGCAAACAAACAACCGCTTGAGCATGCAGAAACTGTTGACCCCGAGGCTTAGTTGTCCGATTTGCCAAAGGCGCTGGTTGGTCGCTGGTTGCCAGTTTTTGGTCCGCAAGTCTATTTTGCTTGGCTTTCGGGAAGGAGAGTTCTACGAATACCAGGCGAGGTCGCCTGGATTGCGCACACGTGCGGACGTGGACGCTTGGGTCGTCCGCGGTGCGCACCTTGAGCCTTGAGGAGCCCACCATCGGTGCTGCTTTCATGACCCAGACTGTGAGTCTCAGCTCAGAGGCCGGCGTGTGGGACATGCGCTAGTGACTACCTTTGAGCCAAGGTTGCACGTTTCAAGTGTGAGTCAAGGATGACTTGAACTCTTAAGACGCGGGCTCGCTTGGTTTGCTGGACGTTTTGGTGAGGCCAAGGAAGGAACCATTTGGTGTTGCGTCGCAGTCTCGTAGGTGGTGAAGTTCGAGATCTGGGATACAGCTGGGCAGGCTGGACATCATCAATGGCACCCTTCTCTGTAGTTTTCCCAGCAGTCCGGGCTTCCGCTTCAGGAAAGGTACAAGAGCCTGGCTCCCATGTCCGACCCCCTGTGGCCGTGTCAACATTCTTGCGCCAGCGGTTGTAGCGGTTTTCAGACGGACTTTCGGATTCCATGTCCATGTCGCCATGGGTGTGGGTCAAAAATGGGTACCCAAAAGGACCAAAATGGGTTGCCCTGGGTAATGGAACCAAGGACTAAAATCTGCGGTCCCCTGGTGGTCCAATTTTGACCCATAGCCCCATGTTGGCTTTCACCTTATCCAAGGTACTACCGTGGAGCAGCAGCTGCTGTGATCGTGTTTGACATCACCTCTCGGGACGGTTCAGCTGGTTTGCTTCTTGATTCCATGCCACTCACTCTACCCACTCGCAAACATGGGGACTGATGGGTGTTTGACAAGCAGCCTAGAACGTCCAGGACAAGTTTTGAGATCCTGTTCAATGGATCCGTAGTTTGGCGTATGTTGGGAAAACACTTGGAATTGGCCAGTCCGAAGCAATTGGAGGAATCCTTCGATGCTGCGAAGTCGTGGGTCTCGGAGCTGCAGAACACGGACTGCGGCTCCGTGAGAAGCAATTGACAGCTTGTGATGATTCAGTCCATGTGGCTGTGGGTCAAAACCAATGGGATCCCATTTTGGGGTAGGTGCACCACCCATTTTAGAACCTATTTTAGTGGGGATTGGGATGTTCACTGGGGGTATGGGATTTTGACCCATGACACACCATATAGCCCGCACTTTCTCCATAGGGGAGACAAGATTTCCGTGTTGGTGTGCAAGACGAGACATGCCATCCGTGGCGGTCATGTCGTACTGAAAGGCAACACCGCCAAACATGTGTTCCTCATGGCCACTGGAAAGGCACTCCTATGAGGACACGCTAATCGCGCTGGCGGGCAACAAATCTGACTTGGAGGCGATGACTTGCTCAGAGAAGTATCAGGCAGTGTCCTAGGTCGTGTTTAGTTGGTTTTATGGCTAGCCGTGGCGGCGGCAGCAGCGACAGCAGCAACAGCAGCAGCACTTTTGCCCACCTTCGATTTTCTAGAACGAGCAAGGAGCTGCTTGTCAGTAGAAGGGAGCTCCCTCAAAATGGGTGTGGGTCAAAATCAAACGACTAGGGGACCGCAGGTTTTAGTCAGTAGAAGGGAGCTGCTTATCAGCGCAAGCATGCTGAGCTGGCAAGCTGGCAAGCTGGCGCAGGCGACCAGGGCCGTCGAGAGAGAGATGGCCAGAAGTTACGCCGACCAGATGGGCATCCTTTACATGGACGGTTCAATTGATATTCCTAGCACGTTGCGTACCTTATGTTCATGAGCGTGGTGGCTGATAGCTGCAAAGCGGAAGGAGACCTCTGCCAAGAGCGGGCTGAATGTCAATGAGATTTTCCACGAGCTGCTGGGCAGTGAACTTGCTGTCTTGAAGCAGATCAGTTGGGTGTGGCTCAAAGTTAAGCAGGAGGGGTTACGCAGGTTTTGATCCCATGTTTCCACTTAGCAGGCTTCCATTTTGGTACCGTTTTTTTTGAGCCACTTCTAGTTGTGTTCAGGTTTCAACTCTGAAGGTCTTGAGGGTCACCACAAGCTGGGCTCAGGATAGCTGTCCGCTTGCCCAAGCAGTCCAAGGCACGATGCTGCAAGTTGGCTTCATGTCACCGAGCCTTCCAGCCTTGGGTAACCCTGAGGCAGGTCCTCACACCCAGTGAATCAAGACTAAGACTGATAGCCTTTTGGGAGCTTGGCCTCAATTTCTTTGAGCTGGGAGTGTCAATCAGGAAGAGGATTCCAAGGCTCGCGGCTTCGCGGCCGCGGCCTGATGGGCTGTCAGGGACTTCCCTAGCTCGTCCCTTCCCAGGTGGGCAGCCAAGGGGGCGCAGCCAGCTCCACGGGCTGCGCTGGATCTTGCTGATTGAGAGATGCCCTCCGATCCCACGAAATTCGCGGGCTCATTGCCTTGGCGCTTCAACGCCAAAGCCAAACGGCCCGGCACGGCGCGGCGACCCCGCGTGTGCAGGGCGCGGTAGGAGTTGCCTGGAACAGACCGCTGGGTGGCCCCAAGCTCCCCAGCACTTGACAGAAAAAGAGGTGAGTGCTGTTTTGCTCGGGCAATGCTTTGCACCAATGTGACAAGACTGACCAGCACACATGGATCAACACGAGTGCTGAACTCTTAAATTTGAATGGGCATCCCTTGCTCTGGCTCTCAGCAGCAACTTTGAGTGTACAGCAATGGCGTTTAAAGTGCCGATTGGTCGCTACACGGAGGCCTCAGTTGAGGAGACCAACGAAGCTCACGTTGCCTTGGTACAAGCTGCAACCTCCGTTGATCTTATCGAATCTGCGAGCGCTTCCTTTCGAGTGCGCCGGACAGGAGCTCCGGGCGTTCCTGAGCTGCACTCACAGGAAGCTGGGTGAGGGATCGCTGCCCTGGCGCGCGGAGCCCCATGGGAGTTTTCCGCAGGGATGCCGTAGGTCCGATGTTGGAAACCGCTTGCTGTTGCTCAGGGAATGAGAAATGGAATGAACCTGAAAACTCCCTTAATTAAAGGAAACCATAGGAACCGGAGAGTTGAATCGAGTTCATTCCATGTCTCGTTCCCTGCATCTCTCGCATCGCAAGCGCAAGCGCCCTGGGGGGGTCATTCCCATCCCGAGGCCTGGCTCAGAGGGGTCCCCAGTTGCTGCTGCTCATCGCGGAGTTCGTGCTGGCGCCGAAGGTGGTGCTCTACGCGGGCTGCGAGGCGCGAGGGAGGCATCAGGCGCATCGGGGCCTGGTATTTGGCTTTTGTTCTTGTACAAGACTGAAATATATACATACACATACACATATATATATATATATGATCATGTATGATGTATATTATAATGTACATATACATATATAAACATATGTATGTATATATATATATAAACATATATATATATATATATATATGTATATATATATATATATATATACAGAATGTAGAGTGTCATACATGTGTCTTCTTGGCACGCAGGATGGCCGGATCAAGGTGCTGGAACTCCTGGAGCCCCTGCATAAAGGTTCACGCCTGCAGGAGGTGTCGCGCTCTGCTTGTCCGCGACCCCTCCTTTGGGCCGTTTTCTTGGGCGTGCCGTTTTTTGAGGGTGCCTTTGCTTGCGGGTGCGATAGGCAGGGAATGACCCTTCCGGGTGTTGGGAATGAACCCAGCATCAATCCTTGAAGGAACTGCAAGGGATGGTTTGTAGGCTCATTCCTTCATTCCCTGCTGAGCACCAGCATATTTTTGAGGTTGGTTCAAAACGAAGCACCGCCATTTTGGGTGTCCCTGATTTGAAGACACACCTGATTGGTGCCAGGTGCAGATGGTCGCGACGTCTGGAAGCCCGCGGAGCCGTGCCAGTGCCACGCTTGGGTTGCAAGTCTGGTTCGATTGCCAGCCCACTTGCAGAGAATGACATGTTTTTTTGGATTTGGAAGTGGCAAGGCTTTTGGACGGTCGGTTGCCCACAGCGAGCGTTCGGCTTAGCTCTGACCCAGCAAGGCTTTGGCGGTTCAGCTGTGCAAAGGTGATGGGTGCATTCATTCTTGATAGTCATGCCTGCTCGAACAGGATATGACCCCGGGCCGAAATCGTACCATGCATGGAACGCACAAAGACATGAATCCACATGAACGCATCAGCTCACCAACGCACAGGCACACCAACAAACCAAGGCGGGCACGCGCACACGGGCACGTGGATGCGCGCATACTCCAACACAGCGAAGAAGCAAACAAACAAACAAACAATCAAACACACAAGCAAACAAGCAAGCAAGCAAGCAAGCAAGCAAGCAAGCAAGCAAGCAAGCAAGCAAGCAAGCAAGCAAGCAAGCAAGCAAACAAGCAAACAAACAACAAACAAACAAAGAAGCAATCGCACCACACTCACACATGCAGCCAAACAACAACAACATCACACACACACACAAATACACAAGCAAACAAGCAAAACAAGCAATATAACAGCAAGCAGAAGCAAACAAAGGCAAGCAAAAGCAAGCCAGAGCAAAAGCAAGCAAAAAGCAAGCAAAAGGGAGCAAAAGCAAGCAAGAGCAAAAGCAAGCAAGAGAAAAAACAAACCAAGCCAAAAGCAGGAAAATCACAAAAGCAAGCAAAAACAAAGCCAAAAGCACAAGCAAGCCAAGCCAAAAGCAAGAGAAACACAAAACCCAAAGCAAACAAAGCAAAGCCAAACGCAAAAGCAAAAACACAAGCAAGCAGAAGCAATAGCAAGCAAACACAAAAGCATGCAAAGGCAAAACAAGCAAGCAACAGCAAGCAACAGCAAAAGTCAGCAGAAGCAACAGCAAGCAAAAGCAGAAGCAAGCAACGCCAAAAGCAAGCAAAAGCAAAAGCAAGCAAAAGCAAAAGCAAGCAAAAGCAAAAGAAAAAACAGGGCAAGCAATCAAACAAGAGAGTCAGCAAGCAAGCAAAAAAAAACAGGCAGGCAGGCAGGCAGGCAGGCAGGCAGGCAGGCAGGCAGGCAGGCAGGCAGGCAGGCAGGCAGGCAGGCAGGCAGGCAGGCAGGCAGGCAGGCAGGCAGGCAGGCAGGCAGGCAGGCAGGCAGGCAGGCAGGCAGGCAGGCAGGCAGGCAGGCAGGCAGGCAGGCAGGCAGGCAGGCAGGCAGGCAGGCAGGCAGGCAGGCAGGCAGGCTGCAAGCCTGCAAGCCTGCAAGCCAGCAAGCCAGCAAGCCAGCAAGCCAGCAAGCAAGCACGCACGCACGCACGCTTGCAAGCACGCAAGCATGAAAGCATGCAAGCGAGCAAGCGCGCAAGCACGCAAGCGCGCAAACACGCAAGCACGCAAGCAAGCAAGCAAGCCAGCAAGCCAGGAAGCCAGCAAGCAAGCAAGCCAGCAAGCCAGGAAGCCAGCAAGCCAGCAAGCCAGCAAGCCAGCAAGCAAGCAAGCACGCACGCACGCACGCACGCAAGAGCGCAAGCACGCACGCACGCACGCACGCACGCAAGAGCGCAAGCATGCAAGCACGCACGCGCACAGGCACGTTTGCAAGCACGCAAGCATGAAGGCATGCAAGCGCGCAAGCGCGCAAGCACGCAAGCGCGCAAGCAAGCAAGCCAGCAAGGCAGCAAGCGCGCAAGCAAGCAAGCAAGCGCGCAAGCACGCGCGCACGCGTGCAAGCACGCACGCAAGCACGCAAGCATGCAAGCGCGCACGCACGCACGCTTGCAATCGCGCTTGCAAGCAAGCAAGCGCGTAAGCACGCAAGCGCGCAAGCACGCAGGCACGCAAGCGCGCAAGCACGCAAGCAAGCAAGCAAGCGAGCGAGCGAGCAAGCAAGCAAGCAACCAAGCAACCAAGCAAACAACCAACCAAGCAAGCAGGCAAGCAAGCAAGCAAGCAGAGAAACGTACACCTACACAGACACACACGAGCTCACAACAGCAAGCAAGCAACTGAGGAAGCAAACAAACATTCCAGCAAGCCAGCGAACTAATACACAAACGCAAAGAAACCAACCAACAGGCTAACCAACCAATCAACCAGCCAACCAATCAACACCAGCCAAATCAAGCAAAACACATTACAAATGCAGACGCAGACACGCGCACACATGAACACGCACGCGCGCACGCACGCGTGCATGGGAACGCGCGCGCGCACCGCGCGCATGAGTGCGCAGATCCCCAGACTGGGCGCTCACGCCCACTTCTGCGAGCACGTGTGCGCAGCATGCGTACAGCACACGGATTGGCACACGTGCGTGTGTGTGTGCAAGCCCACCGCCGCAGCGCCAGCAGCAACTGCACCAACGGCGACAGCAATAGAAGCAGCAACAATCATTCGGTGGCGGTGGCAGCAGCATCAGAGGCAGAGGCAGCAACAGCAGCAGCAACAACAGCAACAGCAGCAACAGCAAGAAACAAATAGAACACAAGACGACAACAACAACGAGCACAATCTGCACACAACCACAACTAACATGCACACATGCACACACACACACACACGACACACACACACACACACATAGACACGTACACACATACACAGACAAAGACTCAGACACAGACACAGACACAGACACAGACACAGACACAGGCACAGACAGAAACAGACACAGACACAGACACAGATACAGATACAGATACAGATACAGATACGCATAGGAATACGGGTACGGATACAGATACGGATGCGAATACGGGTACGGATACAGATACAGATGCAGATACGGATACGAATACGGGTACGGATACAGATACGGATACGAATACGGGTACGGAAACAGATACGGATGCGAATACGGGTACGGATACAGATACAGATGCAGATACGGATACGAATACGGGTACGGATACAGATACGGATGCGAATACGGGTACGGATACAGATACAGATGCAGATACGGATACGAATACGGGTACGGATACAGATACGGATACGAATACGGGTACGGGTACAGATACAGATACAGCTACACACACAACAAACACACCACACACACACAACCACGCTCACACACACACATACATGATGCTCCATGTGCTGAGTGGATGCATCCTAGGTCAGTGGACTTGCAGTGGGTTTTGGCCTTGGCTTTCACCTTGTCCCCTGCACTGGAAAGGTTTGGGCTGGCCTTAGGTGATGGCTGCTTGTTAGCGGCCATGTTCTCTGGAACCCTGCGGGTCTTCTCGCTGCCTTCGCACGACGAGCAGGTGAGACGGACACGGTGGCTTCGTGAGGGCAGATGCGCAAAGCCATCAACAGAGACCTTGATGGTTTTTGCTGCAGGTCAGCGTGCACCTGCAAGTGCTTCTGCCTCCCCAGTCCCCCGTAATTGCCGGATGCTCAAGGAATAACACTGTTGCTTGAAGTGGAATGTCGAAGGGCATGAAGCTTGGCAAGGTGAGAGGGACCGGATTGGTGGCAAGCAGAAGGGCCTTGTACGTGGTGGGGCTGAGCCTGGCGCTCAGTCAAGACGTTGGAAGACTATGTCAGCTCGATAAAGTCCAAGAAGTGCTAGTCTTGCAGGCTGCGGCAACATTTTGCAGGAAGCTCCGCTTCTTTTTGCAGCAAGGCAGGAGACTTGCACAGCCTCTTTGCTATCAAACGTGTTGGTAAAATCTTCATGCTTCAGAGCTTTTTAGTGCAGCCTGACGAGGCCTTGCATCATAGCCGAGGCTTCACTTGCTTGAGCCTTGGATATCTTGAACTGTCCATGCAGTGCCAAACAAGATTTTTGCTTGCCTCAAGCGCCCAGGTCTTTGTCCAGTGTGATGAAGCTATTCGGGCTGGCCTGACATGCTTGAGTTGAGCATTCTTAGTCTATGAGAGCCTGGGATTTGAGAGTGGACCAACTTGAATTTGATACACTTGCATTGGAGTGATGACTTGCAGGGGTTTTGCTTGCAGTCCTTGAAAGCACTTGCTTCGCTCGCAACTACTCAGACTGAGTAGAGTAGAGGGGTCGGTGTGCTAAGGCTTCACATTCCATAATGACAGTCACACGATCCCACAGCATTGGACACTGAGCCTGCGTTACATAGCAACATTCAGGCTAAGTGTAAGGAAGTCAGGGCTGTTCTCGCCGCGCGCTCGCCGGCGCGATACATCATACGCCATGGGTTGTTCATCCGGGCGAGGCCTCGGAGCGGGCGGTGGCGGTGGCGGTGGCGGTGGCGGTGGCATTCTGTGTATGGCTGGCACTGAGACCACGGCCACCGTCAAGAAGGTGGCTGCAAGATATGGCCTGTCTGTGACGGCTGTATCAACCTTGGCTGATGCCATGGCCGAGATCTCCAGAAAACCCTGGATGGCGGTGGTCGCGGCACTGGGCACGCGCCGGGGTGTAGATATACTCTTTGACCGTGGCACGGAGAGTAGCCTCATCCTTGCAGCCAAGCAGCTGGAGCCGCCGCCCTTGGTTGGTGTGTTCAGTTGGACAGCATGTGAGGCGAAGAATGTGGCATCTCGCTGTCGAAGAGCGGGAGCAGATGCCGTGATCTGTTCCGAAGAAGGGCTCACAGATTTGCTTGTAGCTCCTGCACCTCGCGTCCTTTGTTTGGCTGGGGAGGATACAACAGCAACTGTGAAAAGCGTAGCCAATAAGTTTAACTTCGCTGTGGTGAGGGTGGCCACCAACGATGAAGCGTTAGATCACATTTGCAACAGGGGCCCATGGGGAGCTGTTGTTGCCGCACTTGGGACACGACCCGGTGTGGACCTGATATTTGATGGTGCGGCTGATCGAAGCACACTGATTTCAACAGTGAAGCGGCTGAAGCCGTCCCCAACCATGGTGGTTTTCAGCCACACGGCCTGTAGATTTAGCGGCATGACCCAGGCGTGCACGGACGCTGGGGCGGACGCTGTGTTGTGCACTGCTGATGCGCTGGAGAAGCTGATCCTGACCATCGAGGCCAGTAGGGCGTCCTTCTTGCATGACATGAGCGTGCCGGACGTGCACGTGCCGGAGCTCGGGGCGGAGATCGAAGCTGAAGAGCCGCCAAGTCAGTTCCCCATCTATCGGAGCGCGTTGGAATATCCGATCATTGCACTTCGCTTAGAGCAGAACTGTGAGTTGGAGAAGGCCTTGGGGTCTTCTCATCCGGCCATGAAGAGTCTGAAAGATTTTGTAGATGAAATGATTGGCATGCTGAACGCTCTACCGCAGCCACTCACAGTGCCGTCTTTGTGCCCGTCTTCACCTGTGCGCTTTGTTCACATCTCAGACACTCACCATCACCACCGAAACGTGCATTTGCCGGAAGGCGAGGTGCTGCTGCATACCGGTGATCTGGTGGGGAATTACGGGGACAGAGATATTGAGAAACACTTGGCTGACTTCCTAAACTGGCTTGCAAAGATTAGTCCTCGCTTCAAGCTGATAGTCGTGATTGCTGGCAACCATGATACACTGCTTGATGAGCAGAGATACCCGCGAGAAGCTGCACGGGCGAAGCCTGCATTTCTTGCACGATTGCCGGGCAATGTCAAATACCTCGAGCACAGCGGAATAGAGTATGAGGGTCTCAAAATATGGGGAAGTCCAACAGTTTGTTGTAGGGAAGAGACGCTGGGCAAACGATACCTGAGCAATGCCTTTGAGCGCCGCAAGGCGGACAGGCAGCAAATCTGGTCAATGATACCGGAAGGTATTGATGTCTTGATGACTCACGTTCCACCCCATCGGATCCTTTGTGCCTCCGACTGCGGCTGCGAGCTTCTGCTGGGTCGCCTGAAAGGCATGGCTGCGCCGCCACGCTTCCATTGCTTCGGCCATGATCACGACTACTTTGGGGTGAAGGCCGGGCCCAAGACGACTTTCATCAATGGTGCCCTAGAGGAAGTGAGGCGAATGGATCGAGGAGCCCAGGGATGCGGCTGGGTCTTCGACATTCCTCGGCCAGGAGATCTGATGCGATCAATGAGCATGGACAGCAACGACTAACCAGCATTCCGGCTGAATCACAGCGGAAAGTTGTGCAACTTGGAGCGGCTGAAAATTGAGAACACGTCGCGAGCTGCATGATTGCACATATTTTGTGTTGATGCCTTTTGACTCAAGTGACAGGTTTGGAACTGCTCTTCTCTTCTGAGTGGCGCCCAGGCCTCTGATCTTGGGGGTTGACTTGTCAGACGTAGAGTGGGGGTTTGTCCTAGGCAAGTTCCGAAGAAGGCACTTTGCAGCCTCAGGAGCTCTTTTCACTTGCCGGTATGATTGACCTTTGCAAGACTTCCATGCTGAATTTTGCGTTTCAGAGTCGCTTGAATATCAATAGATTCACACGTAGAATTGGGAACTGCGAAGCGGAAGTTTGGCTAGGACTTCTGGAATCCACATCGGCAAATGCTAGTGGGCAGAGATCTCAGCTGAGCCGGCCATACACTGTCACCCAGGTGGCTATGTGTGTAGATTGGGGAGACTAGGCCCTTTCAACACCAAAAGGACATCAAACGCGAATCAATTTGGCTTGCGACCCGCCAAACGGGCCTTCAGCGAAATTTTGGACAGACTGCAGACCTAGCAAATTCTGGCCCAACCTGCCCAACCTGCCCCAACCTGCCCCAACCTGCCATCACTTTCGCCCATTCCTTGCAGCCGAGGAATGGCTGTGCTGCCCGGGGCCCGCTTTTTGGCCACCGCTTCCCCGGAGGAGGTCCGGGGCTGGGCCTGGCCGCAGACAAAAGCGCCCGGGCCCCATGGACTTCCGACCTTCCGACCTTCCGGTCACAACTTGACATCTGCGCACACGGAAACACCGGCAGAGCGCGATGATGATCCGGCCAAAGTCTACCTTTTCACTATTTTCTCCGTGACTTGCACTCCTTCGACCAGCTTGTGTGTTTTGATGTTCAGCTGTCCATGCACGACCAAGCTTGCTCTAGAGCGAAACCTACCTGAAACCTGCCTGCTTCCTTGCGGGGGCAAAAAAGAAAGAAGCGCAAACCTGCTCGAAAGAAGCCAGGCTTTGTCCCTTTATTTTGTCCACGCCTTAGTCACACAAGTATGCTTTGGTGATCCTTGTTGAACAAACTGCAAACCAGAAAGACACACAAATACATGAAGCTAGGACAGTAACGGCGAATTACTCAAATCCCAAAGCCAGGTGCTTTGCACGCCTTGCGCTTTTCGTGTGGAGGCCATGTCTTCTCTGGACGGTGCCCACCGGCGGCGCGGGCTGCGAGGCAACGTCGCTGCTGTGGCTTCCTTCCTTTGGCACGGGGCGCCAGGCGCCCAGGTCAACGGGAGAGTCGGAGAGAGCGGTCGCGAGATTCCAACGGCTCGCATCCGACGGTCCGCTGGCACCACAAAAACCGCTCCTGGCTTCGGAGTTACGAAAGCCGATTTTCCATGGTCCGCTTTCCTAGTCTCCGGAAAGCGTAAGAGAACGAAGGCAGACAACTTCTTTTCCTTGCGCGAGATGGCACAGATTTCGGGCAACGGGCTCTAGGCCTGGCGGTATTTGGAGAGTGCAGCGGGGCGCTGGTGGTCTGCGAGCTTCAACTCTGTGGGGCTCTCAGAGCGTCAGACATGCATCTGTGGTGAAACGTGACCTAGATGTGAGATACACTGAGCCTTTGCACACAGCCAGGCCACGCGTTCGCGGAGAAGCCCTGCTCTCTGAGCACGTCTGCAGCCTGGACTCGCGCAGCGCGCGCGCGCGGCAGGGCGCCGCTGCCTCCTGAGGTTTCAACTCCCGGGAGGGCCCTCGGTGCCAGCTGCAACGATGGCCGCATCCTCAGGGGTGTCGAGTCGAGGGAATGTTGCCCATGTACTTCTGTCAGAGCTTCGCAGAGGTCCCTCCAGCAACGTCTGATCTCAGCCTCACTGTTTGGTCGGAGGCGCTTGGAGCCTGCTTTGCATGAAGTGAAAGATGGCCAGCAAGTGGAACTCTTGTGCCTCTTGATGGCATCGTAGGGGTCTGCCTGTCTCGCAGGCAGGCTGGTTCTCGTTTGGCCTGAGCGGCCCAGCTTCTCCGTGGGCATCCTAGATTGGGCAATGAGATACCGAAGAAGCAAGATGGGTCTTTCCCTTAGGGCTTGACTTGGCTGAGGCTCAAAGCGAACCTGGAGCAGACGGAAACAGGTACGGTCATCTCATCATTGGCATGTTATGGGCCGTTGGCAACCAGCTCCCGATTCTTCTAACGCCACTGCGAGTGATCTCGCGCGCACGCCTCCGACGTATGCTACCAAGACTGTGCACTCTACATCGTGAACAACCACAAGGCGCAGGGATTGCGACGGCGCGGAGAAGATGACGGTGCGAAGATGAGTCAGGCTGAAGTGGCCCCGAAACGTGAGGCGAATTGATTGAGACCTGGCGATGCTCTCCGTCTTTGGCCATGCCTTTCGTCAAGCACAGCCAGAGCGATGAGCAGTTTGAAGCATGGCGTTGGGCACGTCAAAGCAAGAGTGGAGAAGAGATGCCAGGCTCAATAGTTGGAAGCATGACGTTGGCATTTGCAGCCTATCAAGCAAGCCAGAGTGGAAAGGAGCAGCCAGGCTCAACAGTTTGAAGCATGACGTTGGCAATCGCTGCCGGTGTGACGCCGTCAAAGCGAATCGGAGTGGATAGGCGACCACATCAAAGCGAATCAGAATGGAGAGGAGGAGCCAGGCTCAACAGTTTGAAGTCAGACATTGGCAATCACAATCGGTGTGACGCCGTCAAAGCGAATCAAAGTGGATAGGCGAGAAATCAGAATGGAGAAGAAAAGCCAGGCTCAACAGTGCGAAGCTGGACATCGGTGTGACGCCATCAAAGCGAATCAGGGTAGATAAGCCACCACATCAAAGCGAATCAGAATGGAGAGCCAGGCTCAACAGTTTGAAGCGGGACATTGGCAATCGCAGCCGGTGTGATGCCATCAAAGCGAATCAGAGTAGAGTGGATAGGCGATCGCATCAAAGCGAATCAGAATGGAGAGGAAGGAAGGCTCAACAGCTGGAAGCATGACATCGGCAATTGCAGCCGGTGTTGTGACGACCATATGAGGTGGCTATCGTTTGCCAGGTCTTTCGTTAAGGGCACCGGAACGATGACTAGTTTGACTACATCAAAGCGTACCAGAGCTTTGCCACACATAACGTTTCACCATCCTTTCGCAGTTCACATGAGTCTATGAATGGCGAATCAATGTCATCCGTCGTGGTCTGAGTCCCTGTACCCCCCGCGAAACAAACAAAACCACATCAACAGAAGGTTGTCAAACAGAGAAGGAAGAGCAACGCCTTTTCCAGCAGGAGCAGAACAAGGTCGCTCTGGCCTGTTTACACATGAATTCCCGAAAACATTCATTTTGTGAGTTCGAGTGATTCCAGTACAGTTCTGCACGAGATACTCTTTCATGACAGGTTTGAAAGAGCAAGCATCATCTTCATGAAGTTCTGAGACTGCTTGCACGGTTTGGTTCATAGCCTCATTTCGTCAGTTGGTTGTTCTTTTTAGGCGCAGCGCACGTCTCACCCATTGAGGTTGTTTCTGGTTGGTTCTGGCACCTAGTGGCACCTAGGTAGGGCATGTATAGGAGCACAAGCACAATGCTGTGCAAGATCCTTTCGAAGTTCATGGTCCGGAATCATGTTCAAGTGAGCCTGGAGGCCAAGGCGGAAGCATGCCGTCGCATCACTTCGGGTAGCGGGTAGCGAGATTCTATATGGAGCTGCCAATGAACCCTGCAACCAGCTCCAAGCTTCAAACCGAAGGACAAGCTGCGAAGTGCATGCCCGTGCTCTTCAGCTTTCGCATCGGCCTGTTTGGGGCTACATGCTCTCCAGCGATGAGGTCTGGGCAAGCCTTGTTCCACGTTCGCCGAGGGAGCTCATCACAATCCACAGTCTACAGTCCAATCCACGAGCGTCTACCAAAGCCGGGAATCTACAACAACCCACATCGCACATGTCGAATCGAAACAGGAAAGAGGTCATTGCCTTGTCTTGCGGCTCTCGGACGTCGAACCCCCCAAGGTGCCCATCATCCATCGTTCGTCTCAGGGCTAGGTCTTCAAGCATGGCTATGGAAAGGAAGCAAACTCCTCAGGCTTAGGTGATCTTTCCGGGACCGGCTTCGGGATCTTCGGGATCTTCGGGATCTTCGGGATCTTCGGGATCTTTGCAGGATCGCGGGATCTCTCCATCTTTGGGGTGGGATGGGAGGATGGGATGGGCCATGCGCCCATGGCAGCGAACCATGAGAGCATGAACCCGCGAGTTGAGGTGTTTGCAGGTAGTCCGTGTCGATGCGGGTCCAGAAGTGGGAGGATGGGATCAACTCGATGGCGTGGTTCCTGAAGCTCCCATGCATCGCAGGAATAGCAAGAGGGATGAAGTAAGCAGCCGCAAAACCACTCACGTAGACAGGTGTCATGCAGGTGCAGAAGAACTTGGGCTTCGACATCCTGAAGATGGTCCAAGTTGCTCAGGCACGGATTCAGGTTAAAACCTTTCAGCTCGTTTGTTTAGTGACCACGAAACCTTGTCCGACCTGAACATCCTGGCGATCGGACTGAACTGACCGCCTGGGGCTCATGGCGAATGCTGGCCTTGGAGCGACTTCGCGTTGCCAAGGCGGGCTTCGGGGACATCGACCGGTGAGGCATGACGAGGACATGTTTTGACAGGCTCAGGTGTGCTCAGGTCAAGTGTGGACTTCAGGCCATGACAAACACGGGACTCATGAGAAGCGGACGGATGCGAAAAGGTGAACGCAGTGCTTTGCCTTCTGGGCATGGCCATTGTGCAAGGGCAACAGCGCTTGATCGCATGTCCTCATTTGCTTGACCATGGGTGAACGACTGGCCACAGCATGCAGGATAACAACGCATCTCCCCATTCTTGGAGCATGTTTGAGAGCACCATGGGATGCAAGGAAGCATTGCTTTCACGCCACGTGCCAGTTTATCCCCAAACATCTTGCAGACAGATTTGGCATGAACATCAGAGCGTAAAAAGGTGAAGGCTTCGCAAGCCTCGGGAGCATGCCATGGGAGCATCCTCGCCGAAGCCTGAAATGTGCGCTTTGTCTCAGTCTAGAGACTCGGGCTGGTGCCAAGGACAAAGAGCGGTGGTCTCCTTCCCAAGTCCGGTGCGCCAAGGGGTCCCATGGTGTTTTTGGGGAGAGATGCGAGAGGCGTCGAAACGAGTTGCACGGGAGACGGTAATTCCCAAGTTTCACATGAGAGTGCAGTCATGCAGTGTGGCAGCTTGCTGTGGGCCACGATCGTCCAACACCTTTTGCCGCAATGTTCGAGCCTCAAGTCTTTGCATGTGGCAGCATGCTCACGGCCATATGCCTTGTGCGAGTCTGGCGGAAGCTGAGGAGTTCTTGGATATGCATTTGTCGAAGTTGGAGGAGCACGACCAGGAGTTTGATTCCGCCTTCCTGTATCAGCTACAGGCCTCAGCTTGCCCTCGGTGCATTCGCCACACGCTGATTTCTGCGAGGTGAAAAGCAACGATGTATCTGACGACAGGCAGCTTTGGTGTGAGTTTCGGGTGTCTTGCCCCACCAACAACCTGGTGGCTCCAGATTAAAGTTCAGGATGCTTGGGAGGTACACGCTCCTCTTCCAACGCACAGAACAGGAGGACCGGCCGCTGGCTCAGTTGGTCCAGAGGGCTGTGAGTTGAGGCACCCAAGTCTGCAGCTCGGGCCGTGGTGCCGCAAAAGGCCGGGGGGGGGAGTGGCAATCGGTCGCTGCGCCAGCGCTTGTGGGGAAATTGCCTTGTGTTTTTGCGGGTCGTGAAAGGTGCGTCACTTCCTTCGACTGGACTGGAACCCAGACGGTCTGGCCTTTGACGAGCTCTGCCCTTAGTTCACGATTCCGGTGACTGGCGAGCCGCACAGCCTGGAAAAGGCTCAACACTCGGCTTCCTGAGAATCTGCTGGTGGAGTCGAAGGCACAGGGAGACACGGGATTGAAGTTGTGCGACAGAAGGATATTTCCGACCCTAAACTCACCTGTACTCCCCCTAAATGTGCCCTAAACCCAGCCCAAGCTCACCCTGAACCAACCCTAACTGCACTCTTTCCCTCCCTCCCTCGCTCCCTCACTCATGCACTCGATCAGTGCCATGCCCACTTGCAGTCGACACCCAAGGCTCCCAAGCATTGCCTGCCAATTTGCACTTTGTGCTCACAAGGTGCCTGTCACAGAATTTGACGTGCTGCCCTCCAAAATGCTGCGCCCGACACAAAACAGCACCGCCACAACCTTGGCAGAGTGCTGTGCCCGCCACACGCGGCCACTCATCAAAAACCGCTGATTGTGCGACCCTGGCAACGAAAATGAGACGTGAGCGAGTGACTGCATGCGTATTCCGATCAAGACGTCTCAAACTCCACTGGACAGCAACGTAATAACCGACCAGCGAACATGAACATTTGCTAGTGGGAATCCTCCGCTATCTATGTCCCTTTGATTCTGCACATTTTTCTTCTTCTCAGACTGCACTCATTGGATCTTGGGTAGTCGAAGCCTTTTTCGCGCCTTGAGTACTGCGCCAGGTTTTTCACCGACCCTTGCGACCAGTGGAACTGGGTCACCAGTTAGAGGAGGCACATTGTTTTGTTGCTGAGCGCTTGCCTGCTGCTTTCACAACTTGGCAGGTACAAAACAAAACCTTCGATATCGCGGAGTGGAACTCGAACCACTTCTGCCAGTATCTGATTGCTCAGGCCGGATGTGCCCAAAGCTGAGACGGGAACTCTGCTCTTTGCTTTTGAGGTGAGCGGCAAGGCATACCAGTACAGACGCTAATCTATTCAACACATAAACCAATCGAATATCATCAATACATTTGTCCCTTGGACATTTATTTTCAATATCGAATAGGTTTTATACTGCCACCGTAGACTTAACATATATCAATATGAATATCGACCGCGACGGTTTTGCATAAAACAATTTGTTGAGCTCATCCGAATAATTCTTCTTTGGATATTTTGTTTAATTGTTTTTGGCCCGATAAATCTGGGATAATTCAGGAAAGAAATAATGAAACATATTAAAATTAAAATATTTAAAAACATGAATAACTAGTTATTAATAAACCAAATAAGGAATTATTTTATTTTTATAAGCATAGGCCAAATCTAATTGAAGAATAGGAAATATAATATATATATATATAAATGAATTTATAATATATAATTAATATTTTATTGGAAATATATATTTATAGAAAATAATTGGAAAACCATAATAAATATATAAAAAACAAAAAATATAATAATTGAATTTTATATTGATATATATAAATATAGATAAAATGAAATAGAATGAATAATGGATGGAATGAGAATATAATAATTTATTTAAATGAATTGATATGTAATATTGATTTTTTGAATTAATTTATAATATAATTGAAATAATATAATATGTATATTTTAAACATATTGAATTATGTTTATTATTTAAGGATTAATATATATAAATTGCAAATTTTAAATAAATTTAGAATATGTATTTATAAATAATGATTTTTTTTTTTAAATTTTGCTTTTTCTTTTTTTAATGAATATATATATATACTAATATTTACATATATAATATTTTTTTCTCCCTTGATTTTTAATATTTTTTTTTTTTTTTTTTTTTTTAATATTTTTTTTTTTTAAATAGGAAATTGAGATGGCGATTCGGGTCTTATTTTTCGTTTGTTTTTTTATTTCCCAATTTCTTCGGTTAGATGCTGTGATGCTGACTCCAGGGTCGTATTTTCCACTTATCTCCTTATGAATCTTTCTGGCTAGATGCTAGATGTTATGACGCGGGCTCTGGGGTCGTGTTTCGTACTTGTTTCCCTGCGTTTGGATACCAATTTGTCTACTTATATCTCCCATCTCCATTTTTCGTGACGCTGGGTGACGCTGGCTCTGGGGTTGTATTTCCTACTTGTCTCCCTGTATCTCCCAATCTCCCCGCCTGTGTCTTCTAATCTCTGCGGGCATTGGTTCCGGGTGATGTCTCCCGCATGTCGATGCCGACTCCGGGGCCAATCTGTATGCTCAGATGCTAGATGCTATGAAACTGTTGTATCTACCGCTGGCTGTTGTGTTATATCGTATCTCCCGCTTGTCTCTCTATACTGGCCCTGCGGTGATGCCAGCTGCGTGTCTGTCGGGACGTATTTCCCGCTTATCTCCCTGTGTCTCGCAGTCTCTGCGGTCAAAAGCCATGTCTCCCGCTTGTCTTCCCGAATCTCTGCGGTCAGATGTCAGGTGCTGTGACTTGTTTCCCTGTATCTCCCAGTGTTTGCAGATGCTGTGACTCCCTCCTACTGCCAGTTGGCTGTTTCCTGCTTACAACTTAAGGCTCGACATTGCTTGTTTCTAGCTCCAACGATGCTCCACAAGGATGCAAACCTGTGCTTGGCCAAGAGAGAGGCATATCCTTTGCAGGCTAGCAGCAAAATCCGTGACATGCCCTTTCCCGTTGCGAAACGTTGTTGTAAGTGGTTCCTGCAACTTATCGAATCTATATTTCTAGCTTGTTGCTTCTCAATTGCAAGGGAGCCGAAGGGAGCCGAAGGGAGCCGAACGCCGGTTACTGGATGCTAAGCAAGCAATAGGTTCAATTGCTTTTGCCCGGGAATTTCATTTTTCCTGTTGAGATTAAATAAACAAATCGTGACGATTGCTTTGCTCAGGAAATTGAGCTGCTTTTTAGAAGCCAGTGTCGCATTTCTTAGTCAAGTGCAGATTTGTCTATGTTTCTCTCCATAAAAAAGCAAATAATAACATCCGGCTGATTGGTTTTTGGAAGCCAGTTCCGCACAGCTGAGTTCTGTTGAATCTTAAATATTTGGTCAAGTGCAATAGCCTGGAAAGCTTCACCGCAAATGGAGGCAAGGAAATTTGCAATGCTACGGAGTATATCAAGCAGGTGCGCTATCGGATCAAAGCCAAAATCGGATTCCGACAACGCCTCAAAGGCAGCAAGCAAAACTTCCTGGTCGGCCATCCTTGTGTGGCGCAGCAGCAGAGCGCTATCGAACCTTACATATGTCCATTTTATCTCTATAAATAATCATGTTCGTCGAATGCAGATTTGCACTCTGGCGCATCCGCAAAGCCCTGCCGAGCCTTGAATATGTGCTATTGTTCTCGATAAATAAATAACGTGGCATCCGCCTGATTGCTTTGCTCAGGATTCTGAGCTGCTTTTTGGAACCCAGTGCCGCACTTCTTAGTCTTCTAGCGCAACAAAGCCCTGTCGAGCCTTAAATATATCTGTGCTCTCGACAAACAAATTCTGGGACATCCGGTTAATTGCTTTGCTCAAGATACTGAGGTGCTTTTTGGAAGCCAGTGCTGCTTTGGTTAAATGTGGCGCATCAGCAGCCCAGCCAAGTGGCCAGCCACCGTCTTAGCTAAAATCGTATAAAGCGGCGTTGCAGGAAAGAACGGATGACACCAGCAAGTTGCGTAAGTAAGTTGCGTTAGCAAGAGTTGTATTGGCAAGATGCCACTTGCAAAATTGCGCAAGCCAGTAGCGCGAGCAAGATAGTGCTAGCGAGATGCACGAGCCAGTAGTGCAGCCAGTGGCACTAGCAAGTAGCACCAGCAAGTGGCGCTAGCAAGTTGCAGGGCAAACGCTGCGCGTAGAGAGCTTACTCAGACAACTTGTTCATTAAAATTTGTTCCGAGAAATTTGCTAACAGAACTTGCTCAATTTAATTTGTGCCAAGAACTTATTTGGAGAACTTGCTCAAAGGAACTCGCGCCAGTAACTTGCTCAGAGGAGCTTGCGCAAAGAACTTGCTAGATTATTTGGCGCCGTGCGCTACTCATGCGTTCGGGCCCCCCATCTTTTAGTCTCCTCTTGGTAGCATCACTGTAGTTCGAACACCTGTCTTGTTAACAGCGCTGTTATAAACCTTGCTTCCTATCTTGTTGTTAGTATTTAGCACCTTCTCAATTGGATAGCCATATAGCCTGGCCAAAATCATATCCAATCTTTTAATTGGTCTTACGATGCTTTTTCCTTATTACAACTTATATAACCCAGTCCTATTAACAAATATATTTTGCTGAAGCGTTTCACACCTTCGTGATGGCAAGGTCGCAGCTTTAACGCATCTCGTTGCCTCCTGACAGAAGGATTGAAAACAAATTTCTCACATATTCCGCAATATGGACGCTGCTGTTTTGCAGGTGTCCGAAAGTGCCCAGGGCTTGCAAGTGCGAGGGCTTAAGGATTTTCATGGCGGGACTTCGTAAAGTGCCATTCTCTGCGGCGCTAACTTCCCTATAGTCTCTGGACCCATGGAAAACCAAAGGGGTTAACATAAGCTGTGTTACATAGCCCTTGTGCTAGCCTCCCACAGTGAGTATTTTTGGAAATCCAAGCAATTCCATTTCATTCTTGCAACCAACACTGAGGATTTTCTGGAGCTGCGCCGGGTGACAGAGGTGCGCGCCAAACGGGCACTTTTGCTGACGCTTGCTAATTTGGCGCGGCGTGTGTCTGCGTTGTTAGGCAAAGATGTCCCGGCCGCAACGCTACAAGCCGCAGTCTGCAAGTTTATGCAAGTGCTCTCTTCTTTGCTTGTGGCAAGACCTTTAGCCGAGTTCGAGAAGAAGATAGCAACCAGAAACCACATGTGCCCAGTCTCGGCCGCAGGCTACTAAGACTGATGTGTAAGTTTCAGCAGAGTAACGAGACGGCCACCAAATGCTGCGGTGATGGAAAAGTGCATTGAGTGTCCGTGCTATGCAAGTTCCTTCGAAACTTCTTTTGATTAGTGCCAGGTGTTAGGTTGATTCACCCCGAATCCCCGGGGCCTTCACTCTCGAACATGGCATTGACATGGAATTTTCTCCTCGAAGTCGATAAATAACATCGATGCTTTTACCCGACGTCAAGGAGATAGATGGACTCGATGTATCCTCTTCCCAAAAAAAGGGACTTCCTGCAGGGACATACATGGACTGATTGTAACTATGTGTTGCTCATACAAGCTACACAAGTTCGCACCTTAGATGAAGGAGACAAGCCTTGTTTTGGGCTATGTTTTTTTGCTGTTTTGAAAAGTAGAATCAAATATGCAAAACATACCAAGGGTACCCCTATTATCCGTACGATCTCGTTACAATTTCGCCACGGCCTCGGAATGTTGCCCGTTGTTATGCTCGCATAGACGTTTTCGGAGGTCCATTTTGCGTAGCAGGCGCAGCACTTTGGCAGCCTAAGATGCAGATTTCGTGGCAGGCGCAGCATTTTATACCCGCGCAAGGTCGGATACAGATTTCGTGGTAAACGTATCACATTCGCAAAATTAAATACAAGTTTCGTGATAGGCATAGCATTTTCGCAAGGTCAGGTAAACGATAGATAGATAGATAAACAGATCAAATAGGAAGAGAAAGAGAAAGACAAAGACGAAAATATTCATTGCGTGGCAAACGCAACACTTTTGCAAGGTCGAACACAGATTTCGTAACAAGCGCCGCATTTTCGTAAGGCCAAATACAAATTCCGTGGTAGGCGTAGCACTTTCGCAAGGTTAAGTGCAAATAGAAGTGCAAGAAAAGAAGGAAGAAGAGAAACATGATAAGAAGAGAGAAAAGAAAAGAGAAAAGAGAAGAGAGAAGAGAGAAGAGAAAGAAGAAAGGAAAAATACATAGAAAAAGAAAAAGAAAAAGAGAAAGAAAAAGAGAAAAAAGAGAAAAAAGAGAAAAAGCAACCGAAAGATAAAGAGAAAAAGAAAGAGTAAGAAAAAACAATTCGTCCAAAAACATTTTTCGCGCTTTAGACATTTCTACTTATTTAATAACAATTGTTTTACACATTTCTGTTTATTTAGAAATGTCTGCTTATTTCTAGTTATACTCATGTTGATTGTTTTAAAATAACTCTTATATTACTTTATTTTGCCCTGAATACTTGGCTCATTGTCGACATATCGATTTTGGGCAAAACATTATTTTTTCTTTAAATAATTACAATAATATATATATATATATAGTGTAATTGTTATTTATAATTTCGACTATCTCGATTTTAAGTCATAAATTAAATTACCTTGTATATTATAAATTAATAATCTATTATAAAAAAATCTTAGTGATTCATATAATAATTCAAGTGACCTTTCAGGGCCAATTCAGATGGAATTATAGGGGAAAAGGGAGGTTAATAAAGTTAAGCTTTAGAAGGCAAATTTAAGATTAACCAATATTCTTAAAATATATATCATAGCATTATATATAAATATAATATTAATAATAATAATATATATATATATTATTACTTGTTTTTAATTAACTATTAACAACTATATATAATAATATTATATCTATTTAATAACAACTCTATTTTTAATAAATACTAAATTAGATTTTTTAATATAATCATTTTTCTATTTTGGTTTTAATAAAATAAACAACAATACCAACAAAAAATCAAAGAAGAAACAAATACAAATAAAGAATGAAAAAAAACAAAAAAAACAAAAAAACAGAAGGAAATAACACATCAATAAGAACAAATAACAAAAAATATAAAGGACAAAAACAAACAAAACAATAAAAACAATAAAGAAAAAAACAAAAACCAACATAGAGAAAAATAGAAAAATAAATAAACGAAGAAAAAAAAGGAAAAGAAAAAGAGAGAAAGAGAGGAAATAAGAAAGAGAAAGAGAAAATAAAACAGAGAAAAAGAGAGAAAGAGAGAGAATAACAGGAGGAGTGGCTGCTAGCAGAAATGCCCGAGGTGGAGCCAATGGCTCCCCAAATCCGGATCCGCAAAAAGAAAATCAACCAATGCCCCAGCAAAACCTAAGCAAGCTATCCCTCATCCTATAGGTAATAAAGTGGCACCAGGGAGAGAAAGAAAAAGAAAGAGAAAAAGAGAGAAAAAGAGAAAAAGAAAGAGAAAAAGAGAGAAAAAGAGAGAAAAAGAGAGAAAGAGAAAAAAAGAAAAAAAGAAAAAGAGAAAAAGAAAGAGATTGAGGAAAAAAAAAAGAAAGAAAAAAAGAAAGAAACAGAAAAAACTTAAAAAAACAGAAAGAAAAAAAAAAGAGAAACAAATATAAAGAAACAAACAAACAAACAAAACTAACAATCACAACAAACAAAAACAAAAAAAGAAACAAAACGAAAAGAAACAAACGAAGCTTAAAACGGGGCATCTTATGAACCGATTCGCAAAAACAAACGCACACAAACACAAAGAGAAAAACAAAGACAAATATAGACAGACGTTGCCAAATAAACAAACGCGGGCATGCGGAAATTAACAGAGAGACACAAAATAATACAAAGAAATAGAGGCAAACAACAATCACGAACACAGAGAGACAAACCGAGATAACCCGAGAGACAAAGGAAAAAAAAAAAAAAAACAAATAGATTTTCGTTACGAGATAAATTTCTACCTTTTCGTATGAGCTAGAAATCCGCGAATTGTGTTGCAGAAATTTCGAGGGAATTTTAATAATTTTGTTTAAATTGCCGCGGCGTAAAATATGCAAAATTCCTCGATTTTTGGGTCGCGTTAGCCCGCAAATTTCGTTAGAATGTTAACGATTTTTAAAAAAAATATCGGGCTAAGCGGGGAAATTTGGAGACCAAATTTCTCGAAAACCAACACCGCACGCACTATAATTCGAACAAAATACCATTACATTAAATCATAAATAATATTATTTTTTCACTACCCTTTTTATTCAACTCATAAAATTTTTATAACAATTTACAACACAATACATTTACTATTTATTCTATAATTATTAACCTCCCCAAACACAACCATTTTTTTTGAAATAATATCCACATTCCATTTAAATAAATTTATCTCCTCAAAAAACCAACAACAAAACAAACTACAATTCCCATTTCATCCCCATTACTACACATAAATATTCTAAAATACAATTTTCTTTTTTAAATTTACAATCAATAATATATTTATTAAAGAATAAAACATACATAAATACACAACAAAAACAAAAAAATAGCTCCTTTATCTATATAAAATGCAATATATCAAATAATTATTTGCCTCGCAAACAAACAAAACAACAACTTTCCCAAACAAACAATTCCCAGAATTGTCAAACCATATTCTATACAAACACATTTATATGCATGTCCACAGACATTTCCGGTCTGTCGGATATTGAAAGCGGATAGAGGTTTCCTCAATCCAATCTACGAACAAATTGTTCTATGATTCCTTCATCGCGTTTCTTTTGGTACTTCCACGAGTTATGCATTTGCATCTAATTGCGTGCACCTGATTACGCAGCAAGCAAGCTGCTTTTGCTCATTGAGCGAGGCTCCTGACCTCGGCTGCAGTCTCACGTGGCCTTTTCTTTACTTGGGATGCCTTGCATCTGGCTTGCCACAATCTGTACAAGAGTGTGTGAACACACAGTGACCTCAAAGAAGGACATGTCAAGACAATTTCGCACTCATAATGGCTGGTTTCCTTCGGGTTTCCATTTGGTTGCCCTCAAAGATCACTTATCCGCAAGACGTCAGGCATGACATACTTGTAATAAGACGTCAAGCAAATCAACCTGTGAACCGCTCTGACCAATGTTGTTCTGGCGCTGTGCCACACATTGCTGAGACACCATACCCCTTTGTGAGGCCTTTGTGTGGACATCCTCAGGGGTGCATGACGTCACCGATTATTGATTTTTGCTCCGTCGCAACCTCCCTGGTCGGTGACATTGCAAAAGACATGGCTGCACATATTGACAGGGCTGTGGCTCAAAAAGGTGGTGCCAAAATGGCACCTTGGTACATGGAACCAAAGACTAAACCCGCGTAACCCCAGCTCTTTTGACCCATACCCACATTGTTTCCTACCCAAGGCAACCCTGGGAACCCAACTTTTGCCACTCAATGATGGCCAAGCTTCGATCTTGGTGCCCACTGGGTTGCCCAAGGTTTGGAACACGTCGGCTAAGTCGCCGAAGCCACCTGCCAAGCCCAAAACCAGGCTGTACCTTTCAGTGACAAGGGACCGCCCAGAAGTTCCTCTTTGCGCAGGTCTCTTTATTTGGGGGCTAAACGGTATGCAACATTGAGTCGGGGAACAAAACATGGATCCCCCGTTCGATCTCCCGTCTTGTCCACCTAGAGGGTGGATGGAACAGGTGTTGCGCTGTTGTGCGCCCGGACAACTTTGGCTGACACTCAGCCATTGTGCCCTCCAACCACTACGCATGATTAGGTTGCTTCAACCCGTGTTGCCATCTGCTTGCGTGCTTTGCCAAAGTGCCGCATGGTCCAACTCCTCCTAAGCACACACCCGCAAACACACACACACACACACACGACACACACACACACAAACACCAAACGCTTTAGTTTTGTCACAATTTATGAAAAATCATCTTAAGTTTCAATTGAATGATTTGCTGTTCTTGTTTTGTTAATTGTTACTCACAAACACGCACTAACACACACCCACACTCAATCACACATAGGGGAACACCAATTGACCCTCCAAGCAAGATCCGTAACCAACGCAGTTGCCCTTCGCAAAAGCAGTATGAGCCTCCGCGGCGCTTGATAAGGATCTTGTTTGCGCTGACCTCCAGGCTGATCACTCATCCCATGCAGTGCCCAGTGCCAAGAACACCAACGTGCTTGTAAACTAAGCAAGCGAGGGAGCAAGCACGCACGCAAGCGTGCGAACACACACAGAGAAGCCAAACAAACTAACAACCAACCAATTAAACCCAACCAAACCAACCAAACCAACCAAACAAACACACAGACAAACAAACCGACAAACCGACAAACAACCCCAAGAAAACAAACAAACACACACACACACAAACACACACACACAAACACAAACAAGCAAGCAAGCAAGCAAACAAACAAACACACAAACAAACAAGCAAGCAAGCAAGCAAGCAAGCAAGCAAGCAAGCAAGCAAGCAAGCAAGCAAGCAAGCAAGCAAGCAAGCAAGCAAGCAAACACAAACACAAAGAAATAAACCAATGAGCAAACAATCAATCAATCAATCAATCAATCAATCAAACAATCAAGCAACCAATCAAGCAATCAAACACACAGAAAAAGAGACAGAAAGACTGAGAGACCAGGAGACAAAGAGACAGAGAGGCAGACAAACAGAGACAGAGACAGAGACAGAGAAAATACCAACAAACAATTGACCACACACACATACACACAACACGCAAGCAACGCAAAGCAAGGCAAAGAACGGCAACACAAAGAAACATACAGAAAGAAGCCAACAAACACAACAAACAACACGTATATGTATATATGAGAAAGGCAAACACTTAGACCATGACGCATCCATGACAAATAAAGCAAAAACAGCAACTGCGACAGCAACACTCAACTGCAACAGTTTGCAAGCATCATCCCATTGAAAGCTGTTCTGGGGGTGGGTCTAGCAAACCTTAAATTGAATATGACAATCCGTAGACCATCAGACCACTCCAACACACAGGATGAAGAACTTCAACATCATTGGTCGCCCGCATTTCTTGACTTGCTGCCGCAACGCCGGACCGATGCCGGGGATGGTGTAAAGCTGCTCGATGCTGTGCGTGTTCAGCGTCTCAACGACCTAGGGTCTGATTCGTCATTAGTTTCAAAGACATGCCTCTGCGGAACACTGGTAAAGGGTGGTTGGGGCGGTTGGGGGGTGATACCAAAGTGGTTGATCCCCATCCTCATGTCGTCTTGACCGCGTTGAAAGAGATTCCAACTTGGCACCACCGAAAGTGACCTGGCATTTGAATTTCCCACAAGCATGTAAACACCCCTCGCCGAAAGGCGATGCTTAAAGCACCAACATGAGGACATGCAAACAATGATAACCCTGTGGAGTGCTGGGAGCCCAATTCTGTAAGGTCGTTGGAAGCCTAGGGCCCAGGTCTGACACGGGGGCTTGCCTGTTTTGAGCATATCTATTTCAGGTTCGAGACTACCCTTCACTTCTCAGGCTGGTTCAAAGAGACTCTGAAAACATACGCCACCCATTTTGTAGGGGTTTCGTGCTCATCAAAATCTCCAAACATGTTGACGGCGTGTTATTTGCATGTGGAATTGGAAGCGAAGCTATCTGCACGATCGCGCTGACCTGAGCAAATCTTACCAAAGGTGCACCTCCAATATGAATCACGTGGCCTTGCCCAACACTTCGCGCTTGACAGCTTCCGATTTGCTGCGCCAGCATTCACAAGAAGCGCTCCGGATGAAGGAACCAACAAACCGCGGGTCGAAAGCAGTGTGCAACATATGCGGATCCCCAGCTTGTGCCACCATCGCTCGCTAGCTTGCCAGAACAAGAGACAAACAAAGGATTCCCAAAGGCAAAAGGTCACTGGGAATTGTCCTTGGAAGTTTCTACATTGACTGGTCAACCTTGCACATGTGTATGAGTCGTGGAATTTGTCTCACACCCGAGGTCTGATCGTTTGGCGTCTCTGTCTGACTGTTGGCGTCAGTAAAATGAATTGAACAGCTGCACTGGGCAATGACATCAGTGGTTTGTTCGGAACGAAGGACCGCCAAACTGCTTCGATTGTCGCTAGGGGTTTATGTGTGGGCCGGCCCGACACCCCAGTTAACTCACTAAAGGCTCCCAAAATGTGTTTTCCATTTGGATGCTCATTAAACAACCTCAGTAGGGGTCCGTCAAAAAACACGACCCCCATAGCGACACCTGCATCACAACTTTTCAACCCAAGACACAGCGGCCGCCACCTGTGGCGTCGTCGCCTGGCCCAAATACTGCCATGGTCGTCAGAAAGGGTGGACCACATCTATAGTCAAATGTTCTTTTGCAGATCTCTCGGGGATTTCCTGGAGGCCTACGAACTGTCGCTCGTGCCATTAATGCAACATGTGTCTAGCATTTTTGCCTTTAGGAAGCACCCACCATTCCGAACACGCAATCCAAGATTCCATGGCGTTTTTCCGGCTTGGATCGTGTCCCGATAAGAGGGCAAACGCGACATTGATCCGGGTGTGATCTTCCAAGGATCTAGAAACCCGGCCAACTGAGCATGCTCAGAGTATGGCTTGAAACGTCCGGTGCAGGTAGCGATCAACGAACATCAGCAAACAATGCCTTGAACACAGTCGAATCCGAATCCTAACACGCGTACACAAATGCATGAACTTGTAGCTGTCTCGTCAACGCTCACTCTGACCGCCCCCTCCCTAGATGAACACAAAAACATCGATTGACGGGCTGACAGGGGGATCCCCAAACTTCAATGAACATGATAGAACAACAATCATGGGTATTCTCTCAAGGTGGACATTGTGCTTGGGACCTGAAAACAGGGACAAAAAGGTGACGGCTATGTGCAAGGGATCGATGCTAAGATCTTGCGACTCTGCGCTTCCCAACCTGCCAGCCTCATGCTGGTGTGTGTCAAACGACCTTTCGAATGGTTTCGTGTTGCCTTCCTTACTGAAAGGGGATTAAGGCGAAACCAGCCACTTGGCGGGTCTTCCCGGCTGAACCCCATCATTCTCATTTCCGATTGCAGTGTCAATTCCTAGCTTTGGATGCCACTTTGGATCAAAACAGTGACTAATGATGATGGACAGGAACTGCAACTCATCTGTCCAAAAAACGTTTCTAGAACCAAGCCCGGCGCTTACGGCAGTAGCTCACGTCCACCAGCATTACGAGCATATTGACTTTGGAGGTGGCGTAGTGGCAGTAAACCATACCGCTGGAACGATGAACCCAAGGAAGCGCTGGGGGGGATCCGTTAACCCCCCCAAAGCCGCCCCGCCTTTGCGACCCGTGCTGTCGGCGTCGCAGAGCGGCGACGCGACAAACTGGCGGTTTCCCGAGCAGAACAGGGCGGAGACAAGATTCCTCTGCACAACATGCGGCTTTGTGTCAATATTTGGACCCAAGATGGGTGGACTCCTTTTGGTGTCCGCTTAAAGCTTGAAAGAAATCCCCAAAAGGGTAGCCTCAAATCAAACGCAGCCGTGTGAGTGGATATGCTGATGTCAAAGGGTCACGTGCGGCTGAGGGGGGCCATTTTAAGAGGGGATCCTTTGCTCTTGGAATCCACATCTATCCCAGGCGCGTCCAGCCTAGGTGAAAGGTTGAGCTGGATCAAAAGTCCCATTTTCTGTGTCTGGGTTTCAAACTTAAACCCTAAACCCTTAAGCAATCCCAAAAAACATGATATCGGAGACTCCAGCGGTGCCTCTGCGCGGCTTCAGTCAGCCCCAGGGGTGCTGTCGCCGGCACCCTCGGCTCGTCCCTGCCAGTGCAAAATGGGCCCAAGGGACGGGCGAGCCCACCCGAATCCCGCCCCCGATGTCAATTTGGGTTTGTCTTGTTTGGAGGGCCCCCTTGCAGGGAAACCAAGTGGAGGCACACTCAATTTGGGCTCCCAATTTAGAGGCAACCGTTCCGCATCAACTCCTAAACTTTCCCTCAACGATCCTGATCTAGGACCATTTCAGAACACCCGCCTCCCATCCGCTCAGATCATGTCTAATTTGTGGCCCTCTTTGCCCCGGCCTGTGCCTTTGCGGAGACCTCGGCCGGGTGCCCTTTCTGGTTATTCGGAAGGTTTTTTGATGGGTGTCTCTCAAAATAGGATGCAAAATAGGGTGGCGTTCTTTTGGTGTTCGATTGAAATCGTCCAAGAAGGGCACCATCAAACAAAGACAGGCTGAGAAAAACCGGTGACTCTAGGTCTCGATCCAAATGGCCAGATACCTCTTTTTGTCTCCTTTCAGCAGGGGGCAACTGGTTCCGCTTTGATTTTGCCCCAGTCAAAACTTGGATCAATGAACAAGACCCCGGAACAATGTTTCTCTTCATTCATGAGCAGGCCTGCTGTTTTCTCACGAGGGCCCCTCTGCGAACTCTGCGGCTTTCCCGCGCTCTTCTTTTCGCGGTGGTTCCATTCGCCCATCAAACCACTCTTGTTCCCGAACAATCGGGACATGCCCAAAACGCCCCGCGCGCTTCACACCAAACAGCTGGGCCAGCTGCGCAAGGTCCATGATCGGCCTTTCAGCCTCAGCTTGGCAAAGGGAAACTCGAGGAATGTGGACATGACCCGTGTAAGGTTTCCCAGAACCAGAATGGGGCAACCCCCCAAACCAAAATGGGGTGGCTTCCATTTGACTTTGCCAGACATAACTTCACAGAATTACATAAATCAAGAAGACGTCTGTGGGTGCCTGAAACATGAGTTGCGACCAAGTCCTGGTATTAATGAGGTCCATCCAAAACCCAACCCATTAAAAACAATCGGAAGGGCAAATGCTGCACCCCTCTCACCCGGATTTGCGTGTGGCGCAAACAAGATAGACCCAAGCGTCTTTGTGTGAAGCTGCTAAAACCATCCACAAGCAAAGCCGATTTTGGCTGGCACACCCACACACACACACCCACACACGCACATGCACACATGCGCACACCAATTTGGCGACCTCCTGGCGTTTTTCTTTTGGACGCCGCCCAGGGATACAGACCGGCTTGGCACCTGGCTGGCGCTTCGAGCATCACCTCAACCTCCTGGCGGAGTGAGCAGCCAGGCGTGAGGTCATGGCTGTTCTGTGACCCTAAACGGGATCTAGGATGCTACATGACTGTCCTTTGGTCTCAGGTGGTCAGACCGGCTTTCATGCATCCTTTTGTATCCAAGGCAGCTGACTTACCAGGGAAGCATGGTCTGGAAAGGTATATGTGTCGAGGCAACCTGGGACCGCGTTTTGGCCAAGAAGCAAGAATTACTTTCAGAATACCAAAAACACGCCCTGATCAGAAACAATTGAGTACCCATGCTGCTGGCCAATGCTAACAAATAAACTCTGAGCAAATCCCCCCCCCCCCCGGCCAACACCTCTGTCCCCCCCGATCCCTTTGCCCTCCCACCCCTCGGAGAAGCAGCTCCCCTTTTCCCTCAGGGCGGGGGCCAGCCGGCATCGGAGACCTCTGGTAGGGGGCCGTGGAGCTTGTAGCAAATGCAGCTGGTGTCGTAATCCGTGCTGTCCGAGGGCACATGGTCCAGGAAATTCCCGTACACGTCCTTGGCCAGCGCACCCATCATTCAGCTTTGACCTTTTGCCAACCCCTTGGCAACATGGTTGGCAAACCTTCACGAGAAACCTTTTAGGGCTGGAGAGGGCAATGGATGACCATGACTTCACAGCGCATTGGATTTTGCCCGTGTAAGCGCGGCAGTTTCCTCCCATAGTGGAAACAGCTTTGGAGTCCAAGTAGGCTGCAAACTCAGAATTGCTATGGACCAGTAAGCGTGACATGTCAAGAACAAGCACATAGTCCGTAGAACGAAGAAAAACATCACTGAAAAAGCCGAGGGTGCAGCAACTCAAAACTAGACTTGCTTGGGAGATTGTCTTCCATTTGACCTCCTTTTGCAACCCCTTTACTAAAGGCGGTTTCGGCATGCGGCGAACTGGACCTAGGCAGCGCCAAAACCTAATTGGTCAGCTTAGAGCACCCTTGATATATATATATATATATATACATATATATATACATATATATATATATATGTTAATATATGATACAATATGTGCGATTCGCCTGCGCCGGCCAACACTTTGGCTGCTGCTCTGCAGATCCTTGAAACTTTCGTGCTCCACGAACCCGTGTTTGCTGAGGCCCTGTGTGAGCACACTAGACCCATCTGTAGGCCTCTATGGCTGAAGCCCTGAAGAGCACAAGCAGGCAATTACCAAAACCTTCTGGCTTACTGTTGGCTGATGCTTGGTTGATTGTAGGAAACTCTGTTTTTTCCAAAGGTTTATTACATTACAACTTCCTTTAAGCCCCGTGATTTGCCATGGTTTGCAGGCAATCAACTGCACTCTCGCGAAGCCACGGCCTTAGCGGTTCCGCGGCCAGCCGAGGATGCCCCTACCGCCGTCGTTGCCGCGATAGCCATCCCCAAAGTTCTTCGAGAATGGGCCTCAGCTGAAAGCTTCACTTTTGGATTAGTTTACTCCTTGCCAACGAAACAACCCACTTTTCAGGTTTCTTTGTTGGCACTGAAACACCCAACACAATTGGTGGATGCCTTCACTCCTCAAAAGAAAAAGCCAAACTCTTCAGAATCCGCAATGGACGATACTATTGGCCCACGCCAAGTTGCAAGGATCCTTTGCTCCATGGCACGGCCAAACTCCCGGCTCGCCGCATCCTTGTCTCCGGTCACAAACTTGAATGCGCCGATGGCCCCGTGAGCACCGGCATGAGTGGTGGAGCGCACACAGCCGGAATCGTTGAGGTCGAACTTGCGGTCAAGGGTGTTACTCATGTGGCGGAGCATTGCGGATGGAAGGCGGGGCAAGCAAGAAGAATCTAGCTTGAGCTTGAAGAGGCCCACACATTGGCGTTCGGATTCCCTCTGCACCTGGCCAAACATCATCCACATGTGGAATCCTTGCAAGGTGTTCCAAACCTGAAGTCTGGCACATACCACCGACAAACACATGTCCAACCCAGCGCCAAACCAATAGACACGAACCGCCTTTGGCGCAGCCTAACGTGGTTCTCTTGGCCCCACCCAGAAAGTGAGGGCTTGTGGCAGGAAACTTTCAGGGCCCCGACCCTCAGCCAAAATTTCGCTTGAGTCTCTGGTTGGGAATGTCCAGGAATCACACCCTGGGTGTCCTTCTGGACAAATCGAACTGGTGTCTTTGCTTAGAACCATCGTGAAACCAGCGGAATCCATCTGTGTTCAACCAAAGTGAAACAAGACAAGGATGCCACTCATTTCCCAAGCTCTGGTTCCGGTTTGCTGTTTTTTCCTTGGACACTCTTTAGAGGACATCATCCAAACAAGCATGGACATGTATGCAACCCCTGTTATCCGCTTGAAAAGCGATGGAAGTGGAATCCCCTCTGCACACATCCTTAATTGTTGGCAAGCGGGTGGAGAAACTCACAGCTAGGTATGTTTGAGGGCTTAAGGGCAACCCCCCCCCCCACCCCCCCACCCCCAAAATGATCCTTCTAACCCCCCCCCAACCAAAAAAGGCAACCCCAACCGACACACCTCAACTGGCCAAAACCTGCCATCAGCTAATTGGTGGTTGGATTTGCGGTTTGAAGATTGAAGGGGGTGGCTTCCCGTTGACGTTCAACCCGCAAACCACCAATCCAACCAACTCAGGGTAGCCTGACAGATGGGTATCCAAAACAGGGAAACACCCCTTCGAAACTTCCTTCTAAAAAGAGCGGCTTACCTCGAAAAAGTCACAAACACCACCTTCTAAATCCCCTTTCCCTTTGAACCGATCCCCCCAAAGATGGGGTTACCTGAAAACAATCCAAAACAAATGGAAAACCACCCAGCGCTTCAAACTAAATCGCAGGCTCCGAGTGCCAGGATCTGTAGCGCTTGGGCGGCTGGATGTGTGGGGAGGCCTGCACCGCCAGGTCTGCCAACTGCGCCAAGGTCTGGCAGTGGTCGAAGCCTTCGATCGGAACACAAATATGAGTGTGGGTCAAAAATACGTACTCCAAATGGAACCGTAAACGGACACATGGAATAAATTCTGCGTCCCCGGGTGGCTTAATTTTGACCCATACCCTTATTAAGATGCAGGCCCTCAAAAGCCAAGCCGCAACTTAGGGTTGGACACAAACAGCAGCTTCTTCGCAACTGCATTTTAGTGGCCAACTTGAGGCCAACTTAAGGCCAACTTGTGAGTACTTTGTACGCAGAATTCATGAAGACGAGCATCGTGGTTTCGAGCGGTCAACTTGGCAGCTTTATGCCCTGACGCTTTGTGCCAGCACTTTTCTGACAACTACCTCAGGTGTTGCCCCCAACTAGAAATGACATGCTTGGACTCCAGTCCTTATTTTGTAGCCTCAAAATGACAATTGATGTCATTCGACTCGGCCCAACAAGTTGACTTGTTTTACAGGTTGAGGGGCAAAGTGAAGCCAACCCACAAGGGCCAAAGAGGGCGAATAGGCTCCCTTAGTCACAATGATGGCATCAAGGTGGTCTACCCAGCATGTACAGAACAAGGATGTCCGCCTTCGACCCAGGTTTTGATGGCTCAGCGACTGGCAATAGGAGCTGCACCAAGAGGCTCTTCAGGTTGAACTGTGTCTTGTAGCTTGCGTTGCACCAGTCTCGCAGCAAAAGCCGGGTCACCCCATTCTCCTCTAGCCTCGGCGGCAACTAAAGGGTCGAGATTTCATTCGGGTGCTGTTGGGGTGATGCCGGGGGTGTTGCTGGTGGATGCTGCGCGAAAAGACAAGAGTGCACCATCGTGCGCCTGAAGAAGGGTAGGTGGGTGGGAAGCACACATGAAGGTCCAACTAAACGGCAGCCAAGAAGCACCGACCAGTTCTCGCGCCCATGGTACTCCCGCTTGCCTGCCGACCCGACGTGCTCACCTTTGAGATTTGAGGTGTCCACTTTGGGGATGCCTTTGCCCCCCCCCCCTCGTTTGCACGGGCTTCAACAAACAGGGAGAGATGTAGATGGGCAAAGCAGTAATCCAGCGCCTGCCTCCGATGCAAAGTTGAACAAAACACCACATGCCACTTCTTTGCCGTCCTGATATCGAGCTGCTGTGCAAACCTGGTTCCACAGCGGAAAATACTGGACACCAAACTACGGAATTGTCCAATCCTCGGCCCTTGGTTGACTATTCCAGCTCAAAGAAACCTAAAGTGGTAAATGATGCTCTGTGTGTGACGCCAAGCACGGCCTTCTTTTGCCTCTTCCACGGCTGACCTTCACATCCAGTAGTAATTGCTGCGCGACTAGCGACTCACATTGTGCATAAGACCCCACGCAAAATGACAGTGTCACTAGGCATCCCCCTGTATCTTGAAAAACCACAAGTACCATAGATGAGCACGCTCACCAAAAACTGATGGAAGGTGACGTGGCTTTTGGCCTTTGGCGTGCCTTTGATTTTCTTTCAGGCTACCACAAGAAGTTGAACAAAAGATCCCCCCTCATGGAGACCTACGCATCTTCCCGGCACCCAGCTGGGTGCATTTTCAATTCCCTGAGGCCCCAGCTGTTGCTCAGCTTGGCCAATTCCCGGAGAAAGTCCCGGCGGTGCCCGCGCTTCCTGTGGCCCATCAAGCTGCCGATGTAGAAGGTGAAGCCGATGATCCCGGCAAAAATCACCTGCCCGCGGATCGCCGGGCCGGGAAAGGGACAGAAGCAGGACCTTCAACAGAACGCATGCCTTTTTTGGTTTAGACAGCAAATGGGATACTTTTCTTGGGTCTTCCTCCTGAAGCTCCCGCTCTGTTGACTCTTTTCTCTGTATCCTGCAGTACTCGAAAAATGCATCCTGGAGGTGCTGTTTGATCCTCTTTGAAGTAGGGCCGTAGTTTTTCACATGCTTCCAGAAACGCTTTGAAAGATGTGATTTGGAGTAAGGAGTACAAAGGTTTAACAGATTTCCACAGCGCAGTGATCCACGGGAGAAATGGCAAGCAGTTATTTGACTCCAAGTCTTGTGGGTGTTGGAGAGAACTTAGCACTTTCGACAAATCAGGGTAGCATAGGTGTACTCCTAGGCTTCACATTCGTCACCTGACGATTTCAGTGGAACCTTTGCTGCAATCATTGCCAACGAAAGCTTCAGCTCCTAGCCTGTTGGACAAATCCGCCGACCCCATGCCTGGTCCAGAATGGACCATGCTTTTGGCATCGGTGTGTTCTGTGTTGCTTTTGTTGATATGTTTTCTATAGGTTTAATGTAAACATAATTATGTATATATATATATATACATGTCCCTTGGGGCGGAAAATACGTCGGCTGGATGTCTGGATGTCTGGATCTCTGGATGTTTGGATGTTTGGATGTCTGGATCTCTGGACGTCTGGATCTCTGGATGTTCGGATCTCTGGATCTCTGGATCTCTGGATGTTCGGATCTTTGGATCTCTAAAGGTCTGTGGAGGTCTCTATCTTTGGATGTCTCCACAGGTCTGTAAAAGTGCTCCAACTCGAAACCCAGCATCCCTGAGCCAGAAAGTTTTGTGGAGCAGTCCAAAAGGCCCTTGTCAAAGCGGTAGCCTTATCTGGGCTCCCTTCCTCCCCCCCCAGCAACAGCCCCCCCCAGCGCCCATGAGTCCAACTTCTTCTAGCCTCAGGTGACCCTGGCCCGGCTCAAACTTCCCCGGTCCGCGCCCTCGTGGGCACGAGGCAGCAGATCAGAAGGATCGCCGCCAAGAGCCAGGTCACAATGGTCGACACCTGCCGATCCTTCCAGGTGAGGAGGTTCCTCGCTGGCACGAGCTGAAGGGAGCTGATTAAACAAGCGCCACAAAAACGGGCCATGGTGACAATTCATGAGTGCTGGCTGGCCATTGAAGACAATAGAAATAACCCTGAAATTCTCGCGGTTCCCCGTGCTAGGGCTCTAAAACAGTGGAAAGTAGCACGGAACCATGACATGGGTCCATGACCACAAGTATATTGCTGGCACGCGCATGTCGCTTATTCATCTAACCCCCCGTTTGAAGGCTCCCTTATTTCAAGAAGCACCCACATCCAATCACCAACAAGGCATTCCCAAAGTCTTCCATCCCTTCACCAATTCTTGCTTCTTTGTTGTGTTCAACACACAACACCCCCGGTGTTTGTTAACTGCTTCAGCCAAGCATCTTGTGCTTCTCCAAAATGCCAAGCACAAAATCCACCTGGCGCAGCCGTCTCCGGTCAGTTCAAGCTCCACGAAATGGATGCAACCGGTGCAACGCTGAAATGACATGCTCGTGTTTTCATTTACGGCACAAAAGCAACTCAGTCAAAAGGACCTAGGTAATTTCACCAACCAATGCTGCAGTTTCTATGGTAAGCTCCTCAATGTCAAGCACCAATTTGACCATCTTGCTTCGCACTGCTTCAACTGGCAGCTTGCTTTGCCAGTCAGTCTGTCTGCGTTGGTCTGCGCACGTCGAGAAACAGCACAATGGGTTGACTTGGAAAGCTGGCACACTTAATTACTTCAGAGGAAAAATGCTGAACTCTGCTGAAGGAAACATTGTCTGCAAATAATTGATAAAATCGACAAGCTAAAGCAGCAAATGAGCATGATGGGGTCGGGGGGGGCGGGCGGGGGGAGGGTGGGGCCTCACTTGCTTTCGCATACCCGCGTGCCAAGGATGTCTTATGAGTCCACTGTCCCGAGTCCAGGACACAACGCACTCACTCACTTGCGGGCTCACTTGCTGCTGACTTGCTTGCTTGCTGACTGACTCGCTGACTTACTTTACTTACTAACTTCCTGATTTCTTGCTTACTCACTCTGATTCAACCAAACTTATACATTCACAGTGGCTTGGAATGCTTGGGGTCTCGTAAAGCGCGGAATCACTTGTTGGTGCTTCTATCTAACTTACATGAAAGATCCCACACCGTCCTGACAATCGCGAGCATCAAATCAGAATGCTCACCGCTGTCGTGCAGTCCCAGTGGCATCATTGCGGATGGACAGGTAGAGGCGGATGTACTGGTTCAACCTGTCTTACTCTTCACCAACTGGATTTATAGTATCCCTAAGGGACCGAGCTTGTTTTACCCCCAGGGTGAACTTGTGCAGCCAGCAATCTGAATCGTGGCATTCCCCAGGATTCCTCCGGACACTGCTCGCTGTAAACCTACTCGCTCACACAAAGACACAAAGACAACAGCTCAATCGAGAAGCCAGGGAGCGCGTTTCGGCAAAGGAACGCCCATCCCTCCGAAACGCAATCATGCCAATCCATGCGTTCCCACGAAAGAAATCGGGCAAGCACATTGTCAAGCACAGTAAGACACCTTTGCTTCCTCGGCCTTTGGACAATTAGATGGCACTGGTAAATGGTTCCAACCCGCACACCCGCTGGCAGGTGGATGGCTTGCTTAGCAAGGCGGGCCAAATCTGCTTGAAAGCAGTACGCAGGGGGGAATTCTAAGGGAATTATTCAAGGGGTCATTCAACTTGACTTGAAGGAAAGCCATCAGGATATTTTTCCGGAGCGAACAGTTTGGCTTATTTGTGCTCCTTTGAGGGCGCCTTTTCGGGTGGTTTCAAAGGAAGCTAAGGGGAGAATGCCGCCCAGCGGGGGTTCGCTTGAACAAAGCCAAATTCACCAGAGATCCCCGCCCTGGGAAAATGTCGTTGTGGTGTTAAATATCTCATGGGCAAGAACCTGCCCCTTTCTTGAAATCAGGTACCCACCCTCCATACATATGCACGGGTTATTTATCAGGGGATGTTTCTCTGTTGCCTTGCGAGGGAGCACGATGGACATTCATCCACTTGGGGTCCCCTCATTCAGAGACACTCCCCACAAATCAACCTCCACAACTAGTTGCGCTTGAGATCAAATGTCGCTTCCTGCTTTGCACGACTACTTGATTACTTTAAGGGAGACTCCCCGAAACTTCCAAAAACGGATTCCTTTTCCCTCAAAGCTCGCCATGTCGCGCTCGTCTCCCCAGCGAGGCGCTGGTCGTTCTCCGTCAGCGAGGACTCCACGGCTTTGGCCTCCGGGGAGGCGTCGAAGGCAAAGGTCTCCGACTCCGCGGGCCTGGCGAGTCGCAGGGCGCGCCCTGCGCGGCTCGCGCGAGGTCTGCCTGCAAACCGAAGGTGGGGAACGAGGGGCCAACAACACAAGATACAAACTTCGAGGGGCCGTTTTTTTCCGCACATGGGCCATGAAACGTCAGTTGAGATGCTTTGGCGGACATGACAAACATGATGGGTTTCACGTTCGCAGTCAGTCGGGGCCGACAAAAGCATTGAACTCAAGCCAAGCCACACCGAAACAAGCAAAGAAATCCAAAGAAGCCCTACAAAACGCATCACAACGCCAAGCCAACCCCAACAAATCTACAAAGATCCAGGACAAAATCCCCACTTGGTTCAAGCTCGTCTTCCACTTGCTTGAGCCCCCTGGATTTTTCAAACACATTTCCAGTAGTGATAGATTCCCTTTAAAACCAGCCAAGGGAAATAAAAACCATGTTCTTCAGCAAAGGGAGGTAGGGAATGAGAAACGGAATGAACCATTTCGAGGTCTTGAAGGAAACCAGTTGGATGCTTGAAAAAGGGGTCATTCCCTCACACCTGCAACAGGGATCCTTACATTGTACACCTGAACATTGCAACTTGTAAATGGAGGTTTCCAACTTTATTTTGGTGTTGAAAAAGCAACATGATTCAAATGGTTGCAACATGGAGATCTTTTAAGGAGCCCTGTGCAAGCAAATCTAGGGAAGGAAACCACCAGTTGGATGGTTGAAAAGTTGGATGGTTGAAAAAACGGGTCATTCCCTCATGGCACCTGCAAGAAAATGGATGTCGTGGACTCTTCCCCAAACCCCATGGCCCTTTGGCGCCGGTGCCCGAGGCGCTCCGAGCCAAGTAGGCAGCGCCCATGGTGCTGGCGCCGCCGCACCCAGGTCTGGACCTCATAGCTTCGGAGGGTCAACATTTCCATTTTTGAGAGGGGGCCATCAGAAGCCCTGCCATTGTTTTGATTCTTATTTGTAAACATACATATATGTATAGGTAAATGTATGTATACTACTACTACTACTACTACTACTACTACTACTACTACTACTACTACTACGACTACTACTACTACTGCTACTACTACTACTACTACTACTACTACTATAATAATAATAGCAATAATAATAGTAGAACTACTAGTAATCGTTTGCACTTCCCAGATCTCACAACCATGCCTCGGTTTTCCCGTGAAAACAGCGAGTCAGCATAGCATGCCCAAACGGATTTGTCGTATGTCTCGCTGCCGCGCAGGCCCCTCCCAGATTCTTCCTGTGCGTCATTCTCTTCTTTGGAAGGATCCGTCGGATCCGGGAGAATGAAAGGGGAACCAGCCCTGATTCTGATGGGTGATTTGTCATCCGATTGCCCTCTTTCCACCGATTATTGAAGTGGTCCCGTGAGCATTCATGAGTTGGAGGAAAGGTGTGGATTGGTCCTCGATGCGAGTTTTGCCCAACAAGGAGAACCAAACCAAACCAGGTCGACCTCAAGTTGCTCTCAGTGCAGTAAAGGTCGAACCACAAAGCAACCGTAAATATGTTGGTTGCCTTTCCGTGGACTATTGATGTCCATCCCGTTGACCTTTCGCATACGTCCAATGAAAATTCGCTTCAGAGGGTGGTGCTTCAACCTCCTGAAGGTGAAATAGAGTTGAACCCCGGCTCTTGCAACACAAAACGAGGCACCCACCATGCAGGCCGGGGTTCCCTATACTCTGACCTCAACCAAAAGGAATTTGATCGTATAGCAGTCAACTGCGGTTTAACCTTTGGATGAGGCTCTCTCCCGCAGGTCTAGAATACTGAGATGGAATCACGTGTCAGTGTGCGTATCTCAGCCTCCAAAATCCTTGTCGAAACCTTCTTGTACATACTGCATGTAGTAGTTGGCTGTTGCACTTGGAGAAACTTTTCAATGCGTCCAGGTGTCAACTAGGGAAATTGGCCGTGGCTCAAAATTAAAAAGCTCTGGTTACGCAGGTCTTTTTGGTCCCATTTACCACGGCGGCATTGTGGTACCACTTTTTGAGCCACAGCCAATTGGACAAATGGCAAACGCACCCTCGGTTGCTTTCTGCTCCCCTGCTGACAAGTTTTACTTTTAGTGGTTTAATGGAAAACCCATGAGTTGCCAAAAAGTTAAAGTCCTAACATCCAAGCAAAATGCACTCAAGTACCCATACTGTTTCGGCTTCCATTTATGAAACTCGACAAACTCTGGGCTCAGGTTGGCTCGCCCATCCGAGCGGCTGTGTCCATAGTGTGACGCCACTGGGCATCTTGAGTAAAGGCCTCGGTACAATCCGGGACGCCTTCTGCTTATTTGGGATCAGTTTGTCATACCAAGAGGGCATCTTTCTTTTGAGTGGAATAAATGTGTATATATATATATGTATAATGCTCCGAATTGATGCTATTTCAATGTTTGACAGCCTACGGATGTGTCAAACGCTGTTGGTCAAACCCTCATCCAAATCATCCTGTTTTTGACACATTCTCACATGTGCTCCGGCCGGCTTTCTTGTGGATGATGGCTGCCCTGTGAACCCGGAAGTATGAAGGCATCTTCACCATGGGCCACATAGCTGCTACCCAAGCTGAATCAGCAATGAATGCTTGTTGTGGTGAGGCCGACTTGAACATCCAGCAACCCACATCTAATCATGTCTCAGAAGACATACACCACATAACATATCTTGACAAATCATCCAACAACCACTGCTGCACCTCCAATTCATCATGCCGAAAAGGATAGAACATCGATCGTGCTCCTCGTCCATGAAACATAGAATCCCAGACCCCTGCTCCTTGACCCGGCATCACCCTGGTTTCCTCAAAGTAAGCAGTTAAGTTCTTGCACCTATTTGGGGAAGACCAGGAAAAGGCGACGGCAGTCTCCGAGATCCAGGCAAAGGCGTATTGCCAGCCGTTTTCATCGGTATCTGCGTTAACAACCACCTGCGCGGCCAGCTTGAAAGCCGAAATCCGGTCGACTTGACCCGAGCCTTTGTCCAAACCATGGATTCTCAACAGGGCATCTGGACAAAAAGATATTGCATCTCCTTCTGCTTTCCTTTTGGAAAATCAAAAGTCGCACCGCGAGCAGCACCAGAGAACGAAGCTGAAACCATCTCAAAGGCCGACAAAATATTATTGCCACAAACACACAAGCCTGATAGACCATTAAGCACCGATGCCAGCATCCTCCAATCTGCAAACCAGGCGGTCAACCAAACCGATACACCCGCAATTTGGCCTGTTGCTCACATACTTGACCGCCACATTGTTGATTCAGGCGTCCAAACTTCAGTACCAGCCTTTGATCAAGTGACTGAACAAGAAAAACAAAACTAAAATCGCGCTGCATGTCGAAGATTCCTAAACCCAAATCCCAAGCTGCCTTGGGCAATTGTCACAACTCATCTTCTGTTGGCATGACCGCTGCTTCAAATGCTGCTGTGCCCTGCGTGACAAGTCAACTGACGTCCTTTCCAACGACTCCTTCATATTGGGATTTTGTTTAGAAGCAACCTGATTAATGGATAGCTTCTGTAGTTTTTGCGTGCGCGTGAGCCTTTTGGCATCTGAACAAGGCAAGAGTCGCCCACTAGCAATCGGCGAACCTTCTTTGCTTTTCTCCTTAAGGACAACTTCATAAATTTGCCTTGCTGAATATAGATCTCACTCGGTTGAACAACTGATTTCCACATTCCGATTGCAGGGCAGGAGCTTGTCGTTCGTCGACAACCACAAAACAGCGCAGGCCTGAATCTGTGGATCCAACACATTCAAGTATCTTTCTACTATAACGATCTGAATCATTGGAATGGGGGTTGTGGGGGACTGAACAAAACAAAGTAAGCCATGCTCACAAGAGAATCATGCGAATCATTGTTTGGCCTCGTATGTTACCCAGGTCGCTGGTAGGACTTGCAACCGTTTCGCACGGCCCATTTGTATCCCCTGCGTCCCCTCAGGCCGACCAGCCCCCGCCTTCCACTGGTAGCGAAATCTTTGGCCACCCAGGAAGATAATGGCCTGCGGGTATCAACATGTGGTGCTTTTAAAGGGTTCCCTCTCGGGGGAAATCACAGCGAAACCCATTTTTGTGTTGGGGGGTCACACCTGTATCCGTTGTAGGAAATGAACTTTGGTGACCCCATGACTTCTTGAGAAGCGGTCAGGGTAAGAACAAATCCCCAAAGCTTGACCCCTTGTGGGGTTGGCACCCGCTGAATGTCCCATGAGGTCATAATATCCAATTTAGCTGCTGCAAGTACAGGAGACGTTTTGATTGGGTTAGCTGCCATGGACTGCGCGTATCGATTCTCTTCCCCATGTTTTTGCTCCTCGTTGCAGCACTTGCAACATGCAACCTAGAAGTGATGGTTCAAGGCTTGATGGCATTCATAGCAAGCCGCCGCTGGCATTTGGAGTCCATTGTCCCTGTTCAAGTCAGAAAGGGACTGAGGGGTTGCTCAGGGCACTCCTAACAACCAGGTTTCATTTCGGCAAATGATGGCACGCACCAAACTGCGACTGCCATCTGTTTTGAGCCAAGCTGACACAACAACAAGTACTCACTTCCTGAGTGGACTGGCCACACAAATCTGAACTTCTGCTTCAAGTCCAGGAACCCAGGGAGTGTTCCTCTGGGTTCGAAGCGCCTCTTTGCGGCGCACCGCCCAAGAAGGAAACCGCTGCGAAGCGAGCGCCGAAGCGCCTGCGGGCCACCACACTCGTGGCCGTAGCCATCCACCCACTGCGGCTGGTCGAAGCCTAAGGATCCGCTGTGAGCCGACTCCTCGGATTTTACTGGGCGAAGAGGATTTCACCCGCCTGAAATTTTTGGTGCTTGGGGGGCCATTCCCAACATAAACCACCATTTGGGGTGAATTCGGTCGTGTGCGGTCGTGATGTTTCACCCAGATTTTTAGGTGTCTTGCGTAGAGCTTGCAATATTTGAAACATGTGAATCGACTCATATTGATTCGTCCACTTTTTGTTTACAATGGAGTCACACATATGTATGTGCAACTTCGGATTGCCCCACGCCACCACCTCTTTTTACATATGGGTTCAAGTCTATCGCTTTGCTGAGTAACCTGTCCATTCTTGGTTGTGACCGCTTGTCCTAACCTGAACCCCCGCGGACTTCACAGTTGCCGCCCTGGTGCCGTCGATCAAGTAGTCAGCGCTGAAGCCACCAAACATGAATCTGCGCTCCTTGGCACGGTCACAAGCATAGGCGTCCTTTTAGGGGAAATAGATGGCCCTGGTAGATGATTAAACCACTAGGTAAACCCGGGCCATCTATTTTTCGACCAAAACAACCAAAAAGGACACCTATGGTTACAAGTCCTATGGCTCTCCAAACCCTAATCAATGCTAAAGACTCAAGCGGCGGAAAGCTTTCCGCAGCTGTCATGGGAGCTGTCCACTCCTCTGGAAGGCTTTTCCTTTGGCTTGAATTTATATGGGGACCAACATACTAAACTTAATAAACCATACACAATAAACTCTCTTCGATTCCATGTAGCATTGCTTTCATTGGATTTAACAGGTCTGGAAATACAAACGACTCCGGATCGGTTTCCTTTTGGGACATTTCGACACATATGGGTTTATTTCGCACCTGGATTGTGGCTTGGCTCTATTTCTGCTCGCCAAGCAGCGGCCTCCCAAATCACCAAATCCGGCGGCTCCCCGAGTGAGCTCTCGGTGGTGTGCCTCCTCACGCGAAATGGGGCAGCCCTGTGTCAAGGGCTCCTGTTAGGCCTTTCTTTGGGTTTTTTGGAGTTCTGCCATGGGACAAAGCGACAAGGGCTAGATCCTAGGCACACCCCCCCCCCCCCGGCCACCACCAACTAGGGGACCCTCAACATGGCGGTTTTTCTTTTGGTTTGCCTTGCCTGAAAAGGCTACGCACTCCTACATGACTCAGGGGGAAGCAAAAGCCGCACTTTGCGATCTTTCTTTAGAACCCTAAGAACGGGTTTCACACAACTGGATGCTACATGAGGATCTGGCAAAATAACAAATACAACTCCGTTTTTTTTGGGTCCCTATTTAGCACCCAGAAAACCACTCCCAAAACAACATATGTTGTGGTTCTGTTTCATATTTAGTGAACCCCAAGATAAAACAGTAGTTTCAGGGACCCAACCCACCATCAGGGAGGTCAACCTGAGGGAAATGCAAAAGGTAAACAAAAACCACCCACACTTAGGGGGGGCCGTTGACCCCAGAATACTCAACCCCAGTTTATTCATAGGAGGGGGGTGTTCCCCTCCAAAAGTGGTTGATTCCCCACATTTCATCCAGGGAGAAGCACCCCCAAATAATAAAAAGGGGTTCATAACTATGGAGTCAACATTAGGGGGTTGATCAAAAGGTTGTTTGCATGGGTTGACCATTTAGGCAAACCACCAACAACGAATATTATTTCGCCACATGGGAAAAAGTTACCCGTGGTCAAAACTGCGGGCCCTAAATGGCGTGGGTCAAAACTTAACCACCGGGAATTGGACTGCAGGTTTTAGTCCATGTTGCCATTTATTTGGGCAATTCATTTTGGGCTTACGCTATTTTTGAATTAAGCTTAGCGGACATAGTTCACAACCACAGAATTTGCGAACATGGTTGGCACCCTATTTTGGGGTTTACCCCATTTACTAATGTCACTGCCAAACATAAAATATGGCCGTGGGTCAAAACCAATGGTAGAATTTTGGGGTAGGTGCACCACCCTTTTGGTGTATTTTAGTGGTTGGATTGGAATGTTCACGGGGGGTACGGGCTTTGGGATTTTGACCCATGGCCATATCGATGCGCCCGATATCAGAAAGCGGCGCGGTCCTCTGTGCGGCGCGGCGCCGCCAGGGCGCCTCCAGCGGCTCCGTGCGGAGCTCCGGGGCCAGCGGCGCCACCGCCGGGCGCAGGTCCCAGGTCCGCTTCCTGAGCCACGTGGATTCGGCAGCCGCAAGCGTCCCCAAAGGGTTCAACAAAGAAGGGGTTCAAAAAACCTTCTAGAACCAGGGGTACAAACCAAGGCAAACTAACTGAGGATTGCCAGAGCCAATGAAAACTTGGACTCCAAACCAATTTTCCGGTTTGGGGTACAGTGAATATATATTTTTTGGAGTCGACACATGAAGACTGAGCACTTTTCGTTGTTTTCTGTGCACCATGTTGAGGTTCAATGATCATATTCTTTTGGCGAAGATCTTTTGGGTTGATTACATGTTCCTTTCTTTTCTTTTTTCCCTCATTTTTTTTTTTTTTGGGGGGGGGGTGGGGTTCAGGGGTCATTGTTTCAGGGGTGTTTATTGATACTCGGGAACTGGCGGGTCATTGTTAAGAAGGCCTTTATTGATGGGAGTTCACCATTCACCGACCAGAAACCGACAATATTACCAGACCAGAGACGGATAAGGGCCTACCCACCAAGCTGCAAAAGAAAACACGGGCCCAGCAACCCACAAAACCCACCAAATCCCCATACCCAGCAACCAGAAACCAGACCCCTGACATGCTGCCCCTTGCTCACATCCCCCCAGAAACCCGGCGCCGAGCATCAGCAGGAGCGCGGCGATGATGGCCAGGGACCATCTCCACAGCAGCAAGAACCTGGGCTGGGCAAGCCTGAACGGATGCTCAAACCCAGGCGAACTGATCACTACAGAACCTCTGCATATGAGATTCTACAAACCAAGCCTGTGTCTTTTGGCCACTCATTGGCACTTGTCTCCCCTTTCTGAAGGGTTCAGGGGCAATTCCCTCTTTGGGCAGCTGAAACAGGCAACGCAGTCAGAGAAACCTTGAGGTGTCGACAGGTTTTTGTTTCACACCCTGCGAATACACGCACTGGGTATTGACCCCATTTAGCCATATTTCCGTGTAATCTTGCACCATTCTGGGTCATTTCTCAAGGGTGTAATCCCAGGGCGCACTACAAAAACCCTTCAGATTGTGAGGTCGCCATGATTTGCTAAGGAGCGTTTTGAGGTGACACGGAAATGCACCCGGGGCCGCAAGCTGAGAGCTGCTTTGGTTGCCCATGGCGGTTGTCAACACGAAGCAAACAAAACACGCGAACACAACCCGGTTCTCGTTCCAAGGCATTCCATTGTGGCCAAGCAAGACAACTTACCACCCCTGCGCCTCAATTCATGGCAAGACATCTTTTTCGACGACAAGTGTACCCCGACTGGTTTTGGTGGCCCATCGCCAGAAGGAAAAAACCAACCGTCTGACAAAAGCAATATTTAACAACGCATTTCCACCTCAGATCTGGCCGAACTAGCAAGACAACATTTGGCCCTGGCGCTGGAGGGGTCCCTCATTCCGAGGACCACACCTTGGGGGTCATGCCACTTGTTCGTCCCAGCCTTTTTGCCAAGCCGCCAGAGCTGAAGAAACAGAAGCCAGGCCAAGGAATACCAGAAGTGCTCCCACTGGATGACCAAAATCACGTTGTTCTGCCTAGTCCGAGGGGATTTGGGGGAGCTGCCGGACTGACACCAAAAGTCGCAGACGGATTTTTCGCCTGATATTAGGGGAAGCCTAGTCACTAAAACACTTTCGGTCCAGGGACTATTAAAAGTTTGAGGCCACAACCTTGCCACAGCTCCCCGTACGGCTCTCAATGGGTATAAGGCTCGCACGCGCGTGTTTCTCTGCTTGCTTGTGAGACAGTCTTCGATTACGTCCTTGGTCCGAGCTGCTCTTTGGCTCGTGTGATAGACATCCCCTCCCTTCAAACAGCCAGTAACTCTCCACGCGGCAAGAACATGTCTAAGACATGTCTGTTTGTGATCAGCGAGTGCCACGCCCCACCATGCTGACCTCTGCTGCACGTAGCGCATGCCCAGTGGGCAAAGAAAGCCGACCGACCCTCTGTCAGGCGGCAATGAGAGCAAACTCCTGAAAACACGGCAGGGGCATGATGGTTTTTCAGGCTGCTGCGCAAAATCTTTCTGGTGCCGTCTGGCTGGGTATGGTTGCAAGCACGGCAATGCCAACGAGGAAACCACCAGCCGACCCTGTTGCATTCCCTGCACCGGTCCAGCTCCGCCATATCTGAGATATGCGAGCCAAAGCTTACTGCGACGTGGCTAAAGATGAAGCCCCGCGCCGAGGCATGTCTGGCAACTGCCTCGGGCCAGGTCCGGCATACGAGGGCAACAGTTGACAGGTCGTCGGCATTCAGCAGCTCAAGCAGCTTGGGGCGAACAGGGTCGCTCAGGAAAATCGAGCGGATCCTGCTTTTGCCATGCTCTCTGGCAACAGGAGTCTCCGGAGTTTGCCCCGTTTTTCCTTCGGCGAATGCCCTTCGCAGATCCAGGCGATGCCCCACCGCCAGGATGCCGATGTCCTGCAAGATCTGGTAGCCTTGGGCGCCCGCAAGGTCCGGGAGGTGGCGATCGCCCAACTCCGCACATTCGAAGAGCGGCCAATATCGCTCAAGGCCCGCCTTCAGCACCGCCTCCTTCAGCCGGCTCATGTCGGGAAATCTTCGAAGCTAAAGGCAGCAATCACACCTGAGACCTCAGTCCTCCCGAAAAACCTACTGGCATTTGTTGAGACTTGCCTAGCACTCCTCAAGCGCACGAAGGCGACACAACTGATGGAAAGTCATCATGGTCTACTCAATCTCCAGAACCAGAGGGATATTCGACCAAGGGCCTGTGTCTGTTTTTTTTCTAGGGGTCACCCTGAGGCGGGCTGATTACCATGCTTTTCAGAGCTGCACAATCCTCCCATGTACTGTGATTTGCATCTCTCCCTCTCTCGCTCTCTATTCATGGTTTGGGAAGAGTTGCTCAGCGATGTTACATCAAAAGACCACAGTGTATGAGCCGTCCTCTAAAAGTGCAATAATCTCAGCAATGTTGCGTCGCAAAGCGTTCTGTGTATGCTGCGTCGCCGTCTACAAAGTGCAACACTTCTAACAACAGCTGTGGTATTTCTTTGTTTAGGACACGGAAGATACCCCCAACACCACAAGAGATGGGAAGGGCTGCTTTGCACAGGTTCTCGGGTTGGGACCCTCCCCGATGAACCTTCATTGGGGGAGGGCTCAACAAACGTGAAATGGCATCCAACTAGCGGTGCGGCTCCCTTCTTGCGTGCGGGTTGCCACCGCACAAAGACCATCTCAATCAGCTCAACCAAGCGACCTTGGCTCGGGCATGATTCATTTGCTGCCGTTCTCAGCTTCTGAACTCATTCAGAGGCAACCTGTTGGATCTCATGGAACATATTTTTTGACCAAACAAAGGAAACAAGGCCGTTTTTGTTGGTTGATCTGAAAGCGGCACATACTAAACCGGACAGCCCCCAGACACATCCCGAAACCGCCATTGCTGGGAGTCTGTGTCCCTTGCCGCCCAAAAAGAGTTCCCTCAGTCGGGGCTCCGTGAAATGGTTGCCCCAAAAAAAACTTACCCAATGGCTTCCACAAAAACCCTCCGGGTTTTCCAGCCTGGTAAGAGTCTACCTATGGCTGGCGGAGAGGCCGGAGGCCGGTGCTTGCAGTTCCAAAGTTAGGGAGCTTGCTGCTTCGCCGAGGTTCAAGGATTGAGAGCAGCAACTCTGAGGGTGTTTCTTTCTTAGGGGCCCCCCCACAATTGTGGTTGTCCTGTTGGGTTCTTTTTAAATCTAACCAAAAAGGGACCCGCAAAACACACACACACACACACACATTTCTGAATTGGCAAGGCCCATCACTCAATATTTCTGGCACACTGTTCCGCGGTTTGGTGTTTAACCCTTGCTGCCCTGAATGTGTTTCTGGCCAGAGGGCTGCGGGGTTTTGAGCCCCGAATATCAGTTGCTCAGCCTGAGCAATACAAAATCTGTTTTTGAGTAGCTGTCTTTCAGGGATCTAGCATGGAAGAAAAACCCAAGTTTTAGCTGACGTCAGTCTAACAGAATACAAGTACCCTGTGTTGCTTGTTCGCCATAGGTCTACACCGAAGCTTGCCCATGAAAAGGACAGCTCTGAAGGTTTCTTGCTGGAGACTCTGAGGTATTTTGCTCAAATCAATGGCCTCAAGCTCTACAACACGGCGAAGCCCCAGGCCCGGGGCTTGAAGTGTGGACTTTTTGCTGGCGAATGTCAATATTTTTTCATGTCCACTCAGTTGCCCCGTGACACCGATGGAATTTCTGTTTGGTTGTTGATTCCATTTTTGAGAATTGGAATCACTAGACAAACATAAATTTAAAGGGGTCAGAATTCATCTCAATCCCTGATTGGATCGGCCGCAAAACGTCCAAACTGATGTTTGCCCCTTGTATCTGGTCTTCCCCAAAAGTGGCTCAAGTCCAGCAACTCAGGGAGTAAGCCTACGAAAAACGAGCTTAGCCTCAGGAAGTGTGGGCACGTGTCAAACTCGGAGGCCTTTTGCGGCACAAGCCGGCTTTCCTTTAGGTTTCCGTTTAAACCAATCTGAACAAGGCTACCCTGAAACAACAAATGCCGGTTGTTCAAAGCCAACCAACCAACCAACCAACCAACCAACCAACCAACCAACCAACCAACCAACCAACCAACCAACCAACCAACCAACCAACCAACCAACCAACCAACCAACCAACCAACCAACCAACCAACCAACCAACCAACCAACCAACCAACCAACCAACCAACCAACCAACCAACCAACCAACCAACCAACCAACCAACCAACCAACCAACCAAACCAACCACCCAACCACCCAACCACCCAACCACCCAACCAACGAACCAACCAACGAACCAACCAACCAACCAACCAGCCAGCCAGCCAGCCAGCAAACCAACCAGCGAACCAACGAACCAACCATCCAACGAACCAACCAACCAACCAGCCAGCCAGCCAGCCAGCCAGCCAGCCAGCCAGCCAACCAACGAACCAACGAACCAACGAACCAACGAACCAACGAACCAACGAACCAACCACCCAGCCAACGAACCAACCAACCGACCAACCAGCCAGCCAGCCAGCCAACCAACAAACGAACCAACCAACCAAGCGACACACCAACCAACCAACCAACCAACACCAACCAGCCAGCCAGCCAGCCAACCAACCAACGAACCAACCAACCAACCAACCAGCCAGCCAGCCAACCAACCAACGAACCAACCAGCCAACCAAACAAACAACCCACCAGCCAGCCAGCCAGCCAACCAACGAACCAACCAACCAACCAACCAGCCAGCCCGCCAACCAACCAACCAACGAACCAACCAGCCACCCAACCAGCCAGCCAGCCAGCCAGCCAACCAACGAACCAACCAACCAGCCAACCAACCAACCACCCAGCCAGCCAGCCAACCAGCCAACCAACGAACCAACGAACCAACCAGCCAACCAACCAACCAACCAAGGAACCAACCATCCAACCAACCAACGAACCAACCACCCAACCACCCAGCCTACGAACCAACCAACCAACCAGCCAGCCAGCCAGCCAACCAACGAACCAACCAACCAACCAACCAACCAACCAGAGAGCCAGCCAGCCAACCAACGAACCAACGAACCAACGAACCAACCAACGAACCAACCAACCAACCAACCAACCAACCAACCAACCAACCAGCCAGCCAGCCAGCCAGCCAGCCAACCAACCAACGAGCCAGCCAGCCAGCCAGCCAGCCAGCCAACCAACGAACCAACCATCCAACCAACCAACGAACCAGCCACCCAACCACCCAACCAACGAACCAACCAACCAACCAGCCAGCCAGCCAGCCAACCAACCAACCGACCGACCGACCGACCAACCAACCAGCCAGCCAGCCAGCCAACGAACCAACCAACCAACCAGTTAGCCAGCCAACGAACCAACCAACCAGCCAATCAACCAGCCAGCCAGCCAACAAACCAACCAACCAACCAGCCAGCCAGCCAGCCAGCCAGCCAGCCAGCCAGCCAAACAACCAACCAACCAACCAACCAACCAACCAACCAACCACCCAACCACCCAACCACCCAACCACCCAACCACCCAACCACCCAACCAACGAACCAACCAACCAACCAACCAGCCAGCCAGCAAACCAACCAACGAACCAACGAACCAACCATCCAACCAACACCCCACCCAACCACCCAACCACCCAGCCAACGAACCAACCAACCAACCAACCAGCCAGCCAGCCAGCCAACCAACCAACGAACCAACCAACCAACCAACCAGCCAGCCAGCCAACGAACCAACGAACCAACCATCCAACCAACCACCCAACCACCCAACCACCCAGCCAACGAACCAACCAACCAACCAACCAAGCAACCAGCCAGCCAGCCAACCAACAAACGAACCAACCAGCCAACCAGCCAGCCAGCCAGCCAGCCAACCAACCAACGAACCAACCAACCAACCAACCAACGAACCAACCAACCAACCAAACAACCAACCCACCAACCAACCAACCAACCGACCAACCAACCAGCCAGCCAGCCAGCCAACCAATGAACCAACATACCAACCAACCAACCAACCAGCCAGCCAGGCAACCAACCAACCAACGAACCAACCAAGCAACCAACCAGCCAGCCAGCCAGCCAGCCACCCAGCCAGCCAGCCAACCAACCAAATCCAACCAACCAACGAACCAACCACCCAACCACCCAACCAACGAACCAACCAACCAACCAGCCAGCCAGCCAGCCAACCAACCAACCAACCGACCGACCGACCCACCAACCAGCCAGCCAGCCAGCCAGCCAACCAACCAACGAACCAACCAACCAACCAACCAACCAACCAACCAACCATCCAGCCAGCCAACCAACGAGCCAGCCAGCCAGCCAACCAGCCAACCAACCAACGAACCAACCATCCAACCAACCAACGAACCAACCACCCAACCACCCAACCAACGAACCAACGAACCAACCAACCAGCCAGCCAGCCAGCCATCCAACCAACCGACCGACCGACCGACCGACCAGCCAGCCAGCCAGCCAACAAACCAACCAACCAACCAACCAGCCAGCCAGCCAGCCATCGAACCAACCAACCAGCCAACCAACCAACCAACCAGCCAGCCAGCCAACCAACCAACCACCCACCCAGCCAACCAGCCAGCCAGCCAGCCAACCAACGAACCAACGAACCAACCAACCAACCAACCAGCCAGCCAGCCAGCCAGCCAACGAACCAACCAACCAGCCAACCAACCAACCAACCAACCAGACAGCCACAGCCAGCCAGCCAGCCAACCAACGAACCAACCAACCAACCAACCAGCTAGCCAGCCAGCCAGCCAACGAACCAACCAACTAACCAACGAGCCAGCCAGCCAGCCAGCCAACGAACCAACCAACCAACCAACCAGCCAGCCAGCCAACCAACCAGCCAACCAACCAACCAACCACCCAGCCAACCAGCCAGCCAGCCAGCCAACGAACCAACCAACCAACCAACCAGCCAGCCAGCCAACCAACCAACCAGCCACCCAGCCAACCAGCCAGCCGGCCAGCCAGCCAACCAACGATCCAACCAACCAGCCAGGCAGCCAGCCAGCCAACGAACCAACCAACCAACCAACCAGCCAGCCAGCCAACCAAACAACCAACCAACCACCCAGCCAACTAGCCAGCCAGCCAGCCAGCCAACCAACAAACCAACCAACCAACCAACCAACCAGCCAGCCAGCCAGCCAACGAACCAACCAACCAACCAACCAGCCAGCCAGCCAACCAACCAACCAGCCACCCAGCCAACCAGCCAGCCAGCCAGCCAACCAACAATCCAACCAACCAGCCAGGCAGCCAGCCAGCCAACGAACCAACCAACCAACCAACCAGCCAGCCAGCCAGCCAACCAAACAACCAACCAACCACCCAGCCAACTAGCCAGCCAGCCAGCCAGCCGACCAACGAACCAACCAACCAACCAACCAACCAACCAACCAACCAACCAGCCAGCCAGCCAGCCAGCCAACGAACCAACCAACCAACCAGCCAGCCAACCAACCAACCAACCAGCCAACCGCCAACACACCAACCAACAAAGAAACGGTTGAGTCGCCCAATCCGACCAAACCCGCCGCGGCGCCGATCTGCTTCTCCAGGTCTGCCCAGTCCAGCGACGCCGCCGGCGCGGCCGCGGCTTCCTCAGGCTCCACCGGCAGAAAGAGATGGCCTCGGGCCAGG